AGGAAACATCCACCTAAGGGTCTCCTGGTGGCTCCCCACAACACAGTGCTGGTTAGTGTGGTTAGCACGGCAGCAGCTCTGATTTGGGTGAGCACTTTTGCTTAGAGCTTTGAAGCCCATGAGTGACAGCAGAGGGACCTGAGGAGGACGGCGTGTTGTCCATGTGCAGTAGGGTCAGGGTGAGACTCGTCTTGTTATCCCGAAGCCCTGTGCCACTCAGCAGTCAGGATTCCTCACTAATTCACCCACGTTATTGGCATTTTCTGGGAGGGCTCACCAAAAACACCAGTGACAATCGCTTGGGTAGCTTCTTGGCTTTGCTAGCGAGYGGCACCGTTGTGGGCAGTGTTAACGGTGAAGATGGACAGGCCTTTTCCCCCCGGCTCTCCTTGTATTCCCATGCCCAGGTTTATCCCAGGTCACTGCAGGCCCCCCAGCTCCCTGGCTGTGTCACAGGCACGTTGGGTTGTGTCCCAAACTGGCATCTCCTGGTGCCCATAGTGGCGTTCCGGGCCTCTGGGTGGATGCTGCGGGTTTGGGGAGGCCCTGGGGCCCGGCAGGAGGGGAGCACCCATCCGTGCGGGGTGCGATACGGCCCCCCATCCAGCTCCTCCCCAGGACAGGGAGCATAAAGCTGACGAGGCCAATTTCCAACCAGGCTCTTTAACGTTTAAAGATCAGAATGCAAACGATGCCACCCCGCAAAGGCCGTGTGCTGTGTCCAAAGGCCTTGCGCGCCAAGGCCTCGCACCAGCATCGTCCCCGGCGGCGAGCGCGCTGCCGGAGCGCCGGCCCTTTGCTCCCTGGCCCATTGCCACGACCACCCCCTCGCATGCCACGGATATTTGCCTCCCTTTGGACTCGGCGCCTCTTGCGCCTGTTCCTCGGGAGGATGCCATGCTGGCAGCTGGGAGCAGATGGGCTTGGATTATTATCATTTATTCCTCCCGCCCACCTCCTAGGAGGGGAAGGTGGGKTTTTTTTGCACGTTAAATGCAGCTTTTCCTTGTCACGCGCCCGTGCCTCTCGGCAGCAGAGAGGTTAACGGGGAGGCAGCGGCGAGGGGGGAGCTGCTGCCAGCCCCCGACCCCACTTGGAGGTGGATGGCGGCTCCTGYGCGCCAGAATCCCCATATAAGGCCAGGCCGAGCTCCAGATCCAGCCTCCTGGATCTGCATCCTGGCTGGACCCTCTCCGCAGGGAACGGCCCGGCGCGGCCGGGCGCTCGGGGGTCCCCCTACAGCCCCCCGGCTCGGGGCACCCGCGGCGGCGCCGAGAGGAGCGGCGGCCCCGGGCGCTCGGCGGCAGCGAGGCCTCGCGCTCTGTTTAGACTCGCTGTCGGGGGAAGTAAACACCGGGGCTCCTTAAAAGCGGCCCCTGGCTGAACTCTCCTCCCTGGCCCCGGTGCTTCGCCCCCTCCCCAAGCTGCTCCCGGGGAAGAAATTCCTTCCCCCTGGCGAAAGCTTAGCTGGAATCGCGTTATCTCCTGGTRGAGGCTCGGAGGGCCCTTGCGAGGCCCTGGTGCGCAGGGCTTGCAAGCCCATCCCCGAGTGCACTTCCCCGCACTGGATCCTTCCAACCGGGACCTCATCCCGAGCCCTCGGTGTCCGTGAAGGAGAGGCCATGTTTGCAGGACACTGTTTGTGCCTCGGTGGCTCCGTCTGGGAAAGGAGGAGATGCTTTTTGGATGGCAGGAGACTCCAGGGGAGCCAAGTGTGACTTTGGGATGTCTTCCCTCTATCACTTACAGGCTGCTCATGCCCTGTGGGCGGTCAAGGGAAGATGCTCCGAGGTGGCATCTTCCTCCTCCAAGCAGGATGCTGATGCAGGACACATCAGGCCTGGCTGTCGCTGGTGGGTTCATTGCTCAGCTGCCACATGTGGAAATGGCAGCAAGTGCCCGCAGGGTTGTTTGGGGTCCAGGCACGGTGCAGGCAGGATGGCTGAGCCCCCGCGCCAAGGCTGCTGGAGACAGWTGAGACTTTACCCCTGGTTCTTGGCAGAAAACAAAATGTTCCTTTTGTTGGTTTCCTGCCCCCCCTGCCCCTCGCTTTTCCTGAGATGCTGCCCCCCAGGTTTCGGCAACCTGTGTTATGTGGAAGCTGGGTCTGGATGGATCCTCAAGAGCTCGACCACAGGCTGCTGCCATAGGTGACTCTCTGTTGGGTCAGGGATCGTGGGATGCATTCCCCAGTGAGGGGGAAATAGTTGGAGCTGCACCCAGACTGYGTGGCACGTCTTGCTCTTCTCCAGCCAAGATGGAGCCTTATCAGGGAATGATCCATGGCTTGCAGAGGGCAGGTGGGGAAGAGAAACAGCCTTCCCTCCATCCCTTCCATGCATCCTCCTGGCCTGRCCCTTGCTCTGCTCACAAAGCAGGGGCTCATTCTGCTTCTGTGCTGCATACGCTGACGCGCTCCTGCTTTTCCTCCAGTTTCCAAGTTGAAAGGCATCCCCGGGATCAAATCCGATCACAGGGCCACGCTCCGCATCGGATGCCGGCAAAGGCCGGGCCGGGCGCCAGCGCCCGGGGACAGACGCTGTCCCTGCGGTGGCCGAGACGGGCGGATGGAGACAGGGCCGGTCCCGGGGCGCCCGTCCTGCCCTCCCTGCGGCCCTCGGGCTGCACCTAACACACACGCTGGTGTTCAGCTGGTATCAAAGCACCTGCTCTTCAAAGGCTCGCTTGGAATCCCTGCCTTGTTATTGTCTTGGCGTCTCTGCCCTCTGTTATTTATTCATTTACTTWSYATTTATTTATTCTCTTCCCCCTGCAGTTGCTGGATCCTGCAGTCCCCTCTGCCCGGGGACCAGCGCAGCGCCCCACGTTGCTTTTACCCSCCTCGCAGCCCTCAGTCTGCGTTGGAGAAGGGCACGGGGCAGGTGTCCGCGGGCCACACCATGGAGCCAGTGCCAGACAGCGATGCCACCTCCGATTCCTTAGCTCCGCAGCAAGCCGGGAGCCAGGGACTGGCAGGGAGTGACTGTCACCTGCCCCAAGGTCCCCGCTGGGACCCCCGGGTGTTTTGGACGCGCTCCCAGGCGCCGCGTTGCTCTCGCMCGGGGCGCGCGGGGCGGCTGCGGCGCCGCCGCCTCTCCTCGCACGGAGCTCCCCTTTGTTTGCGTCTTCCCACCTCGCCGTATTTGCATTGCGCTTCGCTTCAAAGTGCCCGAGCTGGCTCCGAGGGAGGGAATGGAGAGAGGTGAAAGAATTTAAATAACGCCCGAGTGAGGCTGTTTTGCCTGGGAGGTTTCAGCTCCTCCCAGGAGGTGCACGGGAGTGTGCCGAGCGCCCTGGGAGAGGCTTCGATGCCTCCCGTGCATGCTGCCCACAGTGCGTTTTCCTCCCCATTTCACTCCCTGTTGCTTACAGGAGAAGACGAAGGGGGTTCAGGGTGTCCTCAGCACCCGTGTGGTGCCACTCGATCGTGCCTGGCAGAGCTCGTGCTCGTGCCTGGCAGAGCCCCGAGCAGGGAAAGCCGCTCTGGGCTCTGCCAAGCACAAGCAGAGGAGCTGCCATCCCCAGGGAGCATCTCCTCCTGTCCCACCCGCTCCGGGCACCATGAGCCCACCCAGCACCGGCCTTTGCASCCGCAAACCTCCTGGGGGGCTCAAGGGTGAACGTGCTAAGAGGGAGAGAGGCAGTGGCCTCACGTGCCCTTTAGCRGATCGGATGGAGAAACCCTCATCCTGTTTTATTTTTTTCCTGTGTCCTGGTTGTGCTCCGTCATGTTAAAGCGCTCCGGGTGGAGAACAGGATTGAGCCCACGCAGCAATCCCGAGTTTTACGGTCCTGGAAGCCTTGGCTGTGCCAAGGCCGAGCGAGCCAAAACGTTTCTAAGCCTCYGCTTGGAGCGGGAGAAAGTTTTTCCGTAGGATTTTTATAGCTACCGGAAAGCGGGATTTTATTTTTGTTGTCTAAGACAAAAAATCCTCTTAGGACTTGACTTCCTGCGGCAGCGGGTGGAGGAGGCAGGCGGCGCGGCGGGACCCGCGCTTCCCCCCAGCATCCGGGGACACCGGTGCCAGCTTTGGGGAGGAACAGAGGGGTTTTGGTGGCGCTGGGGGAGAGCTGGCCACTGTCAACMCAGGTTGCAGGGCTGCGGGCTCCTTCCTTGCACCGCGCGGGCTGTTTTTGGGGGGGTTGTGCTGTCAGGGAGCCCAGTTCCATGGCAAAACCCTCTGCCAGATGTTATTCTCTGTCAGCCTTGCCCTCCAGAAGGTGCATGGGGTGAGGAAGAGCCAGCGAGCTGCTTTGCAGCCCCCTTGGAGCTGCTTTGCAAGCCCCTCAGTGCAGGGGCCTCCACTTGCTTTTGGTGTCCCGAGTGAAGGCTCAGGTGCTGCCCGGGGACCTRCCCGAGCAAGAGGCGCCGTGTGGAGTCAGTATCAACACGGCTCCCGCTCCCGGGAACGTTGTCCTCATGCCGGGACGTTGTGGGCACCGCTCGGTCAGGGATGGGGATGGCGCCCGCAGCGTCCCTGGTGTGAAGGAGGCCGGGCGCTGATCGGATGAGCTGTTCCAGCTGGAGCCGCCAGCTCCCGTCAGCACCGACGCATCTCCCTGCGGTCCCTGCCCGGCTGCGCTCCTGGGCACCTGCGTGGGCAGCACTGGGCTGTGCGCCGGGCGCCAGCAAGGGGAGGCACTGGCAAACTCCRCGTTTCACCAGCTTCAATGGGAAAATCCCAATGTGCGTGCGCGCTCACGGCCGGCCTGGCTGCTGGCCTGGCCCGTGAAAAAGCAGGTTTGTGCCCTCCTCCCCGCTACGCTCCCCTCTTGCCAGCATCTTCCAGCCAGGACCAGCCTGGAGCAGGGCAAATGCCCTTCTGCAGCGGGAAGGGCAAAATGGGTTCCCGGCAGGGCCAGGAGTTGCACAAGGTCACAAAAGTCTTGGTCCATTAGATGCCTGCATCCACCAGGAGAGGTTTTAGGGCTCCATGTGAACTCTATACTGGTCTGCTCTTCTCCACTTAAATGTTCCTCCTTTCTCCTTCTCCTTCCAGCCGACAACACTCCCGCAGGGCACCATCAACATGAACCAATGCACGGATGTGGTAGATGGGGAGAGTCGGACGGGGCAGAAATTCTCCTTGTGCATCCTGACCCCGGAGAAGGAGCATTTCATCCGAGCGGAGAACAAGGAGATCATCAGCGGGTGAGTGCAGATGCGGGGGCCGAGCCGCCCTCGGGGCTCCGTGTACAGCAGGGAGGAAGAGGAGGGTGGGCAACGCTGTGCCCAAGCACAGCCCCACCAGAGGCGCGCCACCACACGCTGAGACTGAGCCATGTGTTGCAGTCCCTGCAACCACCTGGGTATATTTTACACCTCCCCAGGTTTGTCCTGGAGGTAGTGGGATTCTGTGTCCGTGCCTGCTGGTKCCAGGGCTGTGCAAAGCAGCATGGGGCTCCTGCAGGGCTCTTCACCAAGACCACTTTCCATCTCCAAAACAGCCTTGGCTGCCAGTCCCAAGCGGGAGCGTGGAGGCCGCTTGGCAGAGCGTGCTGCACATCTGGACAGGTCGGGCACAGATGTGCGCCCCAGGGAAGGAGCTGGGAGGCGTAAAGAGATTCAGCTTYGAACGTGTTGGCAGCTGCCTGCTCCGAGGGTGATCCTGACAGCTCGGTGTAATCGCTCCCTCTCGGTCAGCCTCGCTCCTCTCCTCCTTTTTGGCAAGCACAGGTTTGCTTTTCCCTTCTCTGCTCCCTGTGGGAGTCACCTGGTGCTCTGCAGGACAGCAGGAGCCTGAGCAACCCCCCGGAGCTGCCAGATTTATGGGGTGAACATGAGCACTGACTCCAGCAGGGACCTGTGGATGATTTAAGCCCATCCTCGGTGCTTAGTGCGTGTGCTCAGCCGCGCTGCAGCCTGAGGCTTCCCAACGTGCCAGACACCTTCTAGAGCCAGTGATTCAGGAAGCTCGGCCTCTTTCAGGAGCCTTGGCTGGGCCCCAGGGCTGCGATGCTCTTGAGTCACTAGGGACTTCTGAAGCTACCACATTCAGGTCAGTTTTGTTGTCTGCCATTGGGCAATATCCTGCTTGCTGCTGCAGAACAGAGGTGTTTGCTGCGGCACGGAGCGGAATTACCCCCGAGTTTGTTGAATGTTTGGTGAGCGCAACCGATGCTGAGATGCTCCCTGGCTGCCCTTGGCAGCTTTGGTCCCAGCCGGGGGAAGAAAAGGAGCTATTTCCTGGCCGAGGGAAGAGGCCCAGCTGCAGGGTGGCCCCGGGGCTGGCTTGGATGGTGTCTGTGCCAAGGTGACTGCTGCGGTGGCTGGTGCCTTCACCRCAGGATCTCATCGTGCAGCTTCCTGGGGCTGCTTTGCAGCCTGGCAGGTTTGACGTGTTTGGTGTCCTTGGGGTTAGTGCCGGTCTCCTGGAGCCCCTGAGCCACGCCAGAGCCCCCCGTTCCCAACATCAGCGATGGTTTGGGTGGTCCAAGGGCTGCCTGTCCAGCCCCGAGTGTCGCCTCCCCTAGGGCACCCTCGAGGCTCTGTTTTTATTCATGTCCTTGTCTTGTCTTGGCAGGGCCTGTCCATTCCATGCCTGTTCTCTGCGGAGAGGGAAAATAGTGGGGTCTGGTTACAGCCCAGCACCCCCCGGTCCCAGCTGAGCAGCTGACCTTAGAGGAAGATTAAAATATCATCACTCATAGGAGTGCCTGCCGCTGGGATGCGGTTGCTCAGCAACGCCCAAGATTAAGCCACTCGAGAGAGCAAATCCCAGGAGATTTCCCAGCTCCAGGTGCTGGGTGGTGACCTAGAAACATCCTCGTCCCTTGATCTCAGGCTCACGTGGAACTCGGGTCGAAGGCAGAGGTGCTGAGGGTGTTTCTTGGCGCAGGCCAAGGGATGGTGATGCTGCTGTGTTCACTGCGAGCACTTCCCGCTCTGCTCGTTTTGGATCCTGCCGTGTTCCAGGCAGGAGCCGGCACCTTCAGCGCTCGGTGGCTTCATCCCGAGCTGCTCACCCAGCTCCAAGCAGGGCAAAAGGACAGCCTGGGGAGCAGAGATATCATCCCGAGAGGAAGCTCAGGGTTTCAAAATCAGCTGCCATTTGAAACTGAGCCGAAAGCGAAGGGGTTTAAACCCCTTTCCTGTTCTCTCAGAAGCAGGCCATCTTCTCCTCTCTTCCAAGCCTTGCAATGAAAGGATTCAGTGCTTCCTTTTGAAATCATTTTTATTTCCAAGCACTATCTTTGGTTGTGACTCTCTCGTTTTCATAAATACTAGCTGAAATAGGCCTTTCCCTGCAGAGAGCCTGGGAATTGGCTGGAATGCTTACTTTTTCCTTATCAAAACTTCCGTGTGATGTTCAGTGATGTGCAGAGAATCCCCTCTGAGTCCTGAGCCACGTYGACCAGGCAGACCTGTCCTTGCAAAGCCAAGCTCACGACTCATATCTTTTTAATGGGCTTGGGCCCTTGCTGGTGACCCTGCGAAGGGGAGGCTCCTGGGCAGGACGCCGGTGCCGCAGGCGGAGCAGAGCCAGACCAGGGCTCGTCCCGCTCTGCCTGTTGGGTTCCTCTCTGCTCCGCGGGAGGTTCCTGTTTTCCCTTCCCAGAGAATCCGCAGCCTCCCACGGCCTCTCGCTGAGCTCTGCTCCCCTGACCTCGCGCTGCCGCTTCCCTTCATCCCGGTCCTCAGGCTCCTCTTTGTGCTCCGTGACGCCCCAAAACAGGGCAGAACGGCCCCTCGGTGCCCTGCTCGGCTTGCCCTTCTCCCCCGTGCTCCAGAACACAGTTCAGGCTTTTGTTCCTGGATCCTGCTCGCAGTGCCAAGAGGGAGAGACATTGCAGAGCAAGGTGGGGCTGATTTATTGCTCATTGGCCCGGCGTCGTATTTTGAAGGAGCGTGTTTGCTTCTGACTGCAAGCATTAATCACCCTGGAAAAGTCCCGTTCTGGTTGCGAGCCAGCCGAGATTCATTTGCAGTTGCAGCACGACAGGAAGATTTCGCCGGCTCGGGGAGAATTTGTTTTACGCTCGTTGTAGGTTCCTGGCATTTATTGCTTAACCAAAGCCCACTTGATGTGGTCATCTCAGACCTCTTTGCAACAGCAGTGTGCAAAGTGAGGGCAGGAGGAGAGCAAAGCATGGAAAGTTTCCATCAGTCCGTGGATCCTCATGGAGGTAACAGATACCTGGGCTGCTCATCAGGCCCTAGTGACAAGGGATAGGAGAATCCACCAAACAAATGACTTGTACAAGGACTGGACTTCCAAATGCCAAGTTTATCGTGCCCTTTCTTAGACAAAAAGGCATTGTGTGCAACGTGTTGGTGTTAACATCTCTGAAAAAAGGAGGTCCTGCCCGCGAGGATCTGCCCACTCCGAGAGGATGCTCTTGAGGAGCCCTCAGCTGCCTTTCCGTATCATTTAATTCCTGTCCCTTGTCCCCCTTGGCCACATCCTCTCTCTTGGAGCGAGCAGTGTGTGAGTCAAAGCAATCCTGGGGTTGCCTTGGGATTGCCCCCTGTCCCTCCTCTCTTCTGTCCTTCCTTAGAAGTTGTTTTTCCCCTGAATGTGTGCCGAGTGTTGGGACAGCTTCTGTGTACTGTTCACTGTGTTGACCCTAACCATCTTGGAGAGGTCGAGTTTTGCAAGCCAAGTTCCAGCTCGGGGGAATTTTTATGGCCATCTTATAACCCTCTGAAAACTGTGGTTGGTAGTGGAAACGCTGATGCCTCCCAAATGCCCCCTACACAAACTCCATCTCGGCAGGGCAGCCGAGAGCTCTACTGGAATGTGAAGGAGGAATGAGGATTCATCCGGGTGGTGTTGCCAGAGGAGTCTCCGGAGGAGCTTTGGGATCTGCATCCATGAGCAGTGTGTGCCCCCCGTGCCTGAGCATGAGCATCACTCGTTTCTCCCTGCCTGTCACCTTCCCTGTTCTTCAGCACAGAGCTCACCGTTTGCTCTCCTTTGCTTGCAGGTGGCTGGAGATGTTGATAGTCTATCCAAGGACGAACAAGCAGAATCAGAAGAAGAAGAGGAAGGTGGAGCCTCCAACTCCCCAGGTAACCCCAGGAGGTGACACCGTGACCTGATCCCTCATGGCCCAGGGAAACACGTGTTCCCAGAGGGGAACAGTTTGTGTGCCCCTCAAGCCATGGTCTTGCTCACTCCATAGGGAATATATCCAGAGACAATGTAACGGAGCCCCGTGCTCTCCTCTGTCCCCGGTGCAAAATGGCATCAGCTCTGCAATGTGGGTCTCCTAGGGACAGGGGACATGCGTGGCACACAACGGGCAAGGGATGCTGGCCATTCCTGGGCCTTTTAGACAGAAACATGCTGAAATTCCATAGGGCTCCASTTACCCGGTTGGAGATGACCCTGGAGATAATGGGAATGAAAGGAAAATGCTAAAGGCCAGGGCTAGGCTGGGAGCTTTGGGACTGGAGCTGCGCTCTCCGGGGACGCGGCGAGGCCTTCGCGCTCACTGTGACTATAAATGGTAAAAACCGGGGCCGGCCGTGACTCACTCATTCCTGCCGGGCTCCCACGTGGCCGGAGTGGGGGAGAATCCCACAGATTTGGAATTTGACCCCGAGGCCGCGCGCGTCTGGCTCCGGGGCTGAGAACGGCCGCGTCCTCGGAGCGGCCTGACCTCTGCGCGCGCGGCTGCCGCTCCGAGGGGCCGCCTGGGAGAGCTCAGCCGGCCCGCCGGGAAGCAGCTCCGGCCTCCCCTGCTCTCTGCTTGGCAGCAGCTCTTGGGTTTCCCTTGGATTCCTCCGTGGTTGATGGGCTGGTTGCAAGGAGGGTTTCATTTGGTGTCACTCGAATCAAGTTAGCTGCGCTAAGACCTTCTGGGCAGTGGGGATAAAAACGGGGAAGATCATTTAGCTGGTTGCACYGTCACCTTCTGAGCCACCTCCTGCCAGAGACTTGGGCTGGTGGCAACTGCTCAAGCGCTCCGGTGGTGCTCGGGGTGGCACCTCCTTGCTGAGACCTGACATGGTTTGAGTTGTCCGGCCTCAGGCCTCTCCTTGGAGCCTGTGGGGGCTTCCTCGGCAGGATGCGGTGGCCGGGAAGCCCATGTGGCCGGGCAGGRATGGGGAGGAACCAGCTGGGTTCAGGAGGGGGCCACTGCGGAGGGAAGGGGGGGCGGAGGAGAAGGGCCCGGAGCCAGAAAAAAAAAACATCCTTGCGGGTTCCATCCCGTCGCCATGGCAACTGCTTGGAAACCGTACAGGATCCGCGCTCCTGAGCACCAAATAAGGGAAGCARCCGCAGGGAGGCCGCTCACGCCCGGGCTCCGGCCGCCCCGGCGGAGCATCCCCGCGCCGCGGCTTTTCCCACCACTCGGGCTCCTTCCTTTTCCCGTATGTTTGGCTTCCAGGCCGATGTGGGCAGCGGGAGGCGGCCGGAGAGTGCCCAGGAGAGAAGCGGCACCGCACGGGCCTGAATTGGCTCCTTTGAACTTGGCTGCCTTGCCTCTCCTCCTGGAGGAAGCCTCGTTCCTCTGGAAGGACGGTCGTTTGCCTACAAAATCCTCATCTCTTAGGAGGGTATTTTTAATATTTTTAGGGGGATTTTTTTTTAAATGGAGGTCAACTTGCTGCTTGCTCTGGAGCAGGGCTGCGATCCCTCGCGCCTGCATTGACCCACTGGCCACTGAAAGGCTGCCAGCGACCAGGACATTATCCCCAACACGGGGACTACGAAGAGGGGAGTTAATGGCCTTTGGTGACTTAAAGGAAAATTGGCCACTAATACAGCAACTTAATACAAAAACAGCAAAGCAGCTGCTAATGAGCAAAGCCCAAAGGAGCTGCAATAGCTGGTGGGCGGGTGAGCGCCGAGCCCGTGCCGCAGCCTGCACGGTGCCAGCTCGGCCCGAAGTGGCACCGCGCTCGGGTTTATTCCAGAGCCCGTCACACCTAGCGAGGCATTAAAATGCTGGGCATTGTTTTAAAACACCATAAAGCCCGACGCGATATCATCCTTCCTTCCTAGAACAAACGTCCTGTTATGTAGCCAAAACACCCAGGAGGGATATAGCCCTTTTTGGGTTTATTTTTTATTTTTTTTTTATCAATGGCCCATAACAAAGCAGTTGTGACAAACAAACAGCGCAGCTGCTAGTGACAGGGAATGGGTTTTCTCCATCTGATGTCCTTTWGCTTGATTTTTTTTTCCCTTTTTGCCATTGCTGCTCAGTGCGAGCAAATTCAATCCTGACAAATGGGACCCAGGAGAGAGGCGGGGGGTTGGTCTGTGTTTGCTAAACTCRGCAGCTGCCTGGGAGCTGGCGCGTGGAGGGGCCGGGAAGCTCGGAGGCACCCGCCGGGGAGGCCGTGATTTCCCAGCCTCGCGGAGCACCGGGAACACGGGAGGGAAGGGCAGGAGGTGTCCTTGGCTCTGTGCAGAGCCTGCGGGGCCATTGCCAGAGGAGCTGGTGGCCGCTGGCAGGAGGTAGGTGAGACCTGCCCGGGTCCTGCAGTGCTGCTGGAGGTGGCTGCGCAGCTGCAATCGGGTAGATTTGCAGCTGAGGTCGGTGTCTGCAGCCCCAGGAGGGGACAGAGGACGGGAGCTACCGGGTCATGTTCTTGGGAGCTGCTCACTTTGCTCTGCATCCTCATCCGAGCAGATGAATGGAGAAGTGCAGGCATTTTCAGGAGCTCTTCCCACAGAGGGACGGCTCCCCGTGAGCGTGACGCGTGTCACTTTAGCTAAGGAAGCCCCCAATCGTCCCCCTCTAACCCTGCTGTTCCCTTCTTGTCTTTAGGAGCCTGGTCCTGCTAAGATGGCTGTGACCAGCAGCAACATCCCCAGCGCAGAGAAGGTCCCTGCCACCAAGTCCACGCTTTGGCAGGAGGAAATGAGGGGCAAAGAYCAAGCAGACGGCAGCAGCGGCCTCGGCCCAGCTCAGACCCCCGTGCAGGGCCAGGCAGCAGCTGCCGGCTCCCTGAAGGAGCCCACGCTGGATGGCAAAGAAGGTGAGGGGCAGGGTGTTGAGCCAGCCCAAAAAAGAACCCCCAAAAGAGGGGAAAAGGGAAAAACTCTGATGGTTTCAGTTCCCTAGGCTGGCTCCCCATGCTCAGACAAGGCCCACGTGCACAGGTAGGTCTATATGCTGGGGCAGTGCCAGGCCACCCTTCTGGAGAGCAGCCAGCCAGAGTGACCTTAGTTAAAATATTAAATTGCATCCCAAAAAAGGACACGGACCTAGAGGAAAATCTGGGACCAAACACTGCAGAGAGGAGCCAAGGCTGCCTGGCCTCTGTCCACCCGCTCCTCCCGCTGCAGCCAGGCTCTGCAGAGGGAAAGGTGCTTTTTGTGAGGTCCCCCCAGTGTTGCCCGTGCCCCGGTAGCCTGTGTGCCGCTCACCCGGTTATCGGCACTGCCAAGGCCCGCGCGCCGCTTCCTCATCCTGTCCCGGCATCGGGGGAACTGTTTATATTTGGTCTCCCTGATTAGGCCGGGGAAGGCGCCTGGGGCTGCTGCATTGTTCTCCTGTGAACAATAGGGGCTGGGGCTTTTTTCCTGCCCTGGGCTGTTTTCCCTCTGGATAAATCCTGAGGGGATTTAGGGGAGACACCCGGAGTAGGTTTCCTTTATCTCTGTGAGCTGAGCAGTGAGCTCAGGGGCTGCTTTTCCCTCCTCTCTCCTGCTCTTTGTTGGTGGATTTGAGATCCGTAGGATTTCGCCCCTGATGCTTTGGGGCACAGTTGGGCAATTAGTTGTACGCCATTTCCCCAAAGAGAATTGCGGGATTTCCCGGCTTATCTCCCATCTGCTTGATTTCCTTGAAGCAAAAATTATATGTGAGTGAAAAGTGCTGGAGTTCACACCTTTCAGTTTCAGTTGGGGTCCAGGCATTTTGTCCCTGCTCTCATTTCTTACATTGTTGCACATTGGAAATGGGCCATTTGCTTTTTGTTTGTTTATATCTTACCAAAAGGCAGAACTCRGGACTTGAAAGCAAACATGCTGCATTTTCTGTCCTCCAGATGAGAGCTCCATGAATGGCGACCGGATAGACTGCGGGCGGAAGACACGTGTCGAGAGTGGTTACTTTTCCTTGGAGAAGACCAAGCAAGACTCGAAGCTGGAAGAACAGCAGTTGCCGCCCCCACCGAGCCCTCCCAGCCCCAGCACCCCAAACAACAGGTACAGTTATCCCAAATCGCCCTCACAGGAGCATGCCCAGCCCTTTCCTTCCCCAGGTACCCGATCAGGCGACCGAATGATTCACAGCTTCTCTCTGAACTCCTTGGACTCGAAGAACACTTGCCCCATGCACAAGGACTCCAACAGCAGAGATATAGCAAGGGGAGCTGAAAAATCGGGGCGTCCCCTTTCTTTTAAAGCCAGCCGGCAGTACACCACCCTGGCCGACGTTCCCAAGGCCATTAGGATCAGTAATCGTGAGGCCTTCCAGGTGGAGAGGAAACGGCTAGAGCGGAGAACCCGGGCRCGTAGCCCTGGGAGAGAAGAAGTGGCCCGGCTCTTTGGCAATGAGAGAAGGTAAGGGATGAGTGGCTGGTCTCTTCCTTGCATGCTTGAGACATCTCTTGTGCTAGGCCCACGCCTCCCCGCTGCAGCTCCACGTGGAGGAGCATCAAGTTGCCCAAAGCAGGACTGAGCCTGAGGCCAGTCCAAACTGTTCTGCCCTTCCAGTGCTTCCCAGGACACCTGGATTTAAGTGTAACTGGGCGGCCTGTCCGCACCAGGCAGGCAGCAGTGCAGCCTGAGTGACACCAGGAGGCAAATGCCACCCTGCTGAGACTGTTCTGAGGGCAGCCGGGCGAGACGCTGTGTGGGTGCAGTTCAGCTGGCCCATTTGCAAGCAAGACCACCCTTCCCCTGCCCCTTCCARCCCACGGAGGCAGCTGGCACCATTAATTAGGTTACTCCTCTAAACGGGGCTGGAGCCGGCGCTGTTACGCAAGCGCCTAATGAGCTGAGAGAGGTTTCAAAATGTCACGGCCTTAATCTGGGGGAGGAGCCCGGCTGGAGGAGGGCAGGAGGACGCCTGCATGTGCACGGGCACGAAACATGGGCACGAAACACGGGCACGCTCAGCTTTCCCGGGCCAGGCGAAGGAGGGGCTGCACTTGCCCTGGCAGGGATGTGGTTGTGCAGCCAGGACAGCAGAGCCAAGCGGGAGACAGGCCCCGGCGGGAGGGCTGTCTGCCAGGCTGATCGCTTGCCCTGGTTTTCCTCTGGGCATGTTCTCTCTAGCATGATTTCAGCAAGCGCTTCCAGTTCCTTTCTTCCCGGGCCCTAAAGGACTGTTTTCCAGGCGGGTTTTGTCCTGCTGAGAACTCAGAGCTGTGCTGGGAGACGTGGCTCAGCTCCAAGCCCATGCTGTAGCTTGGCAGGTGGATCCTTATGGCTGTCTAAGCCAGGCCTGCCCTAGCGATGCGCAGTTTAAGTGCCAGACTAGCACTTGGCACGAGGAAGGGTAAAGGAGCAGAAAGACTTTCCTTTTGCCTTGAGAATTCACTCCTGTCCGGACCAGACTATAAGGATGCGGTGCCAGTCTCTTGGCAGCCCCAGCTGCAGACACTGACTTCAGAGAGGCTCAGAAGTCACCATTTATGATTGAACTTGTCCCCAGGCCTGACAGGGACAGCAAGAGGCAGAGAGGAGCAGGGATTTACCTGCAGATAGCAACCCTGGGGGATGGAGCTGCTRCCACATGTCGTCCTCTTCATTTCATTTCCCACTGGTGGATGCCTTTTTCCCGGGGAAATGTCTGTTGTCTCCTGCCCATTTACTCACTGGGCTCCTGAGGCCATTTGACAGGTTTTTGTTGACACATCCTTGTTGGCAAATATTCTTCTATGCCAGCTCAGAGCCTTTAACTGAGCAACGTTGCTCAAGGAAGAAGAGCAGATATGTGTCTCTATCCTGCATTCTTGCACCCCCGGTTTAGCTCTGAGCTTGCTGGAAATGTCTTTTCCCATCTTTTGCAGTAAAGGCAGTGCCATCTCAGGGCCTGCTTTGGTAATATCTGGCTAAGCCAGGCTCAGTTTTGCCACCCAGAGAGCAGCATTCATCTTCCCCAGACCCTGGTACCTGCTCAGGTCTGCCTGGGCTGGGAAAAGGGACCCAAAAGGCATGTAATTGAGGGATACCAGAGCTGCCAGGGAGGCTCCGATGTGCTGATGAGGAAGGTGGCCACAAATACCCTGTCGTACGGGACAGCTCCTGYTTCGGCGGTGGCTCTTGGGCTGGCACTGAGCGCTTTCCACCAAGCGGTCAGGATTAATGGGAATTGCTGCTGCTGTGGGGCTGCAAAGGGGCTCAAGCAAAGTCCCGCTTTGCKACCGGCACAGTTGAGCCTCGTCCGGAGCAGGGAAGAGCCGCTTGGAAGCGGGATTGCGGCAGGCAGCAGGGAAAGGGGGTCCCTTGCTTGGCCCAGGCCTGCGGCAGTGGGGATGGGCGCTCGGCAGGGGCAGCTCAGGCTGCTTCACGTAGGGACCGGCTGCTTTGTTCTCCCCTCCAGCCCTGTGCAAATTTGCCCCTCCTGAGACGAGCCAGGTTGCATGGGCAGGAAAACTTGTGTTTCCTGGAGCAGAGCTCCCAGTGCTCAGGCGGCCTTGGCCGGCCGTGGGAAGACCATTTAGCATCACAGCAGAGAATTAACATTCATTGACACCCTGCTCCGCTTGGCTTGGCTGCTTTTTAAATTTGAGTTTACTTGGCCCACATATCCCTTCTGTTTTTTTTTTTTTTTTCCTCCAAATTCAGGCCGTGCTCTCTGAGGTTGAGCAAATATAATAACTCGTTTCCATGCCGTGGGGTCGACTTCTCCCCTTGGATTTAACTCCATTTCCAATAATCCTTCTCAGTAACCTACTAACAAGTCCAGGGACACTCGCCTGAAGCCGTTTGCGCACACGCAAACCCCAGAGACACCGAGTTGGCACCGCTCACAGTTGCCTTTTGGTCATCAGTGCAACCAAACTAACTCGCTTTGACTCCTTTGGTATTTTCAACCCTTCCTCCCCTTTTCTGCTAATCATAAATCAGTGCATGAATGTCAGAGGTGCAGACAAGATTGTATTAAGCATCCAGTGGTCCAACCTGGAGTAACACATGTGTCATCTTAACTCCAGATAAAGCTGTTTTTCAGGCTTCTTGTCCTGTTTCCCTATGCTAAGAGCTCCTCCGTGCTGCATGTGTAGGGCTGAGGTTGCAAATGTGCTTGTGGATGGTTTGAACCCATCTCTTCCCTGTCACGATGGGACATCTGAGCCCTCGCAGCCTCCTCCCCAGGCAGGAATGGGAAGCGATGGGAAAGCAGAGCCGCAGCTTCCGCAGAGGAGCCGGCTCCAGGTTCGGTGTGCGGGTTCCCTCTGCTGGCACGCGGCAGGACGGGCCCYGGGCACCGGCACCGGCAGCGCTGCCCTCCCCGCGTGCATCCCGCTGCATCCGAGGGGGTGTTAGAGACTCCGGAGCCGCTGCGGAGCAAGGAGGCGCGGGAGGGGACATGTGTGATTGCCCGTGGTAACGGCGGGCACCGTGTGCCCTCTTTGCTGCCCGGGCAGCCGGGAAGCCTGGGTTGGAGGTCAGCAGGCTGGGRCTTTCCTAAAAAGAGAGCATGTAGTCTCTAAAAACATGGGGGTTCCCATTGACCAGGACTCTGCTGGCCAAGAGCTGCTGAATTGGAGCGYGACGTTGCAGGAGCATAGCCAGGGTGCAGCTATCTGTGTCCTTGCTAAATCCCCAAGTTACCTGCGGTGGCTTCCAGAGCTTCCTTTCCCAAGTGCCTTCCCGAGGCTTTGGAGCCTGGGAGCTGCATCTGGCTCCCCTCCAAATGCCTCTCTGGTGGGTAMAGAGAGGCTGGCCGGCTCCCCCCGGAGCAGCTTTATCTTTTAAAACTCTCCTCTGCATTTTTGTGTATCTCCGGGGCAAATCCCTCTGCCTCTTCCCAACGTTCGCTGTCCTTCCCGCTGCTAAAGAATGACTGAATCCAGCAAGAAAAAGGCCTTTCCTGCAATCAGAGAGAACAGCTTTACCGACAGCTCTCGCCGGTCCTTTCGGCTCCGCTCCCGCCGCGCTCCCTCCTTCCCCTAACAGCCAAACCCTGCAGCTTGGGGCTGGCGGCCTGCAAGACATTAACTGCCTGCACCAGAGATGCTCCTCGGCACCAGCTTGGCTCTCCGAAGCACTAAACAGCCCTGCAGCTTTCCAAAGGCTTCCTCATCCCTCCCGGGCCTCAGGGTTGGATTTGGCCCCATGGAGCTGCTGTGGGAAGGGGCCGGCTCTGTCTCATGAGCGTGGGGCGAAAAGAGAAGCCTCCCCCGTGGGCTGTAACCCTTCTGAAACGTTTAGCCATGGGGAGAACGATTCTTTTCCTGTCATCTGAATGATATTAACCCTTGGGGCTGTGATTTGGTCGCAATGATTTTTTTTTTTTAATTTTTCCTCCTTTTTCAATGACAAATTACTGGAATGATTTTGATTTTGTTTTGTATGTAGATGCAGATATATAATTTCCTCTTCTGTTCATTCATTTTCCAGCCTTGTTTTCTTCCAGGTCTTGTTGCTCTCCACCTTCTCCTGCTGTGTTGCTGTGTGACGTGTCCGCCTTTACTTCGCCTGCTTCGCTACCATCTCATCTCAATCTCAAGCCGTAGAACAACCCGGTGGTGCAGCCCCTTTCATGAGAAATCAACCTGCTTTTGATTTTGTTTGATGTTTATTTTTTTTTCCTGGTTTGGTTTCCTTCAGGCCTTCACCTAATAGGGCACAATGTTAATTCATGGACCTCTTATTCCCTCCTGAACTGAGATGCAGAGAAAGTTGAGCTCATGTTAAAAGGGGATGGCTGGATTAAAAAAAATTGGGGCTCCAAACCAGTCCCCAGTGYGTCCATAAACCAGAGGACTTGGCTTTACCCCCTGCAAGCAGTTTTGTTTGGGAACTGAGAGCTCTTGTGCTGACAGAACGTCCCAATGGGGCCTGGAGCTTTGCAGGAGCACAGGGCTCTGTCTGCTCCTAGGCTGCAAACTGGGACACAGCGGAATGGATCTCCTATAAAATCACTAAATTGATTTAAATTCTCAAATCCAGCTCTTCCAACCCCAGTTCTGTCCTTTCCTCCATGGTGGGTGCTCTGAGCGTGGGGCTCTGCAGCCGCCCCGGGCAGCAGCGCTGGGTCCCCAGCCCGACGGGGGCATGTCCTGTGTGTCTTACCTATGGAATTTGGTGCAAATGCTAGTTTAAAACTAAACCCGTCATGTTTTGGAGTCCTAACCTGGTGTTCATTTTCATGGGAAGTGTTAAAAAAGCTTTGGTTTAACCTGTTCCCCCTCCTGTGGTTGCTGTTGTGATTTGCTGGTATGTTAGAGGTTCACATAAGGCAAACAGCCCTGATTGTAGATGCGGCATGTGTGGGTCCGTATTTTGTTTCCAGAACCCATCTGGATTTAACTTTTTAGGGGAAGCTCGAAATTGGGATTTAACTTGATGCTCCACTGGTGTCCCTTCTGCTGGGGGAGGTTAATCCGCGTTCCCAGGTTGTGTTTAGAGAGCAGAGGTTGATGCTTCTCCAACCCCTCGGGCACACAACCCTCAGCACCACCAAATGCTTTGAAAACACCAGCATTTCCTCCCCTTGGGTCAGGGAGCAGCTTTGCAGGATGACCTTCATTCTTTTGCTTCTCTTCTATGGCGTGGGGCGGCCACTCGTGAGCTGCAGCCTTGGAGAGGAAGGGCAAAACTGAAGCCAAAGCCGCTTAAAAATCCCTGGTTCTGAAATGACCATAAAATGCTGGTTTTGCAAGGGCTTCCTAGATAGTTACAGGAGCGCAGATGGAGCTGGGTAGTCTGTTTTTTCCCCTTTTTTGGCCCTGGTTACAATGCCGCAGGTTAGGTTGGGGTGGGTTTTTTCCCTGGGTTTGTGCACCCTTAAGCTTGCAAGGAAACGGGGACTGAAAGCTGGGTGTTCATGGGCACTGGGCTGAGCGGTGCTGCAGAGGCCTCTGCGCCCCATGCTCAGAGAGCCCAGACTTTGTGAGATTGTGCAGTTTAGTGCAGTTGCTGGGCTCGTGGTTAAACCGGCTCTGGTTTTCCCTTTCTCTGTGTTTTCCAGGCGATCCCAAGTCATTGAAAAGTTCGAGGCATTAGATATTGAGAACGCAGAGCACATGGAAACGAACACGTCGGCAGCAGCCGCTGCCCTCTCCAGCGATACGCGGCAGGGCAGGAGTGAGAAGAGGGTTTTCCCAAGGAAACGGGTGAGGTTTGCAGCTGCTGCTGGGTGCCTTGGGAACCAGCTAAACCTTGAGAGACTCTAAGATATGTGTTGAAATGCAATTGCACTCATTCCGAGCCTAAGTGATGCGCCGTAGCTCTGTGGGGTTTTATRTCAGGATCTAGGACTCGCTGTCCCAGTTACTGGACTGATCTGGGTTAATTTTTCTACAGGACTTCACTTCCGAAGCTGCCGCCGTGGGCTCCATCCTGGATGCATCTGCTTCTCCACTGTCTCCGCACCGTCGAGCAAAATCACTGGATAGAAGGTCCACYGAGTCCTCTATGACGGTGAGCAGCCCCGGGCGTTAATTCCGTCAGGAATCAGTCCCTTCCCGTGCTCTGCCCTCGGCACGTGCTGACCAGGGCTGCAGCAGCGTGTGTAGAGCTGAACCGTAGGTCAGTGCAGTTTCCTGGATCCTTCTCACTCCCTGGACTGAGACCAAGTGCCGGTTCCTGGCTGATGCATTTTTGGAGAGCAGTTCACACTTGGCTCAGTGAGGAGAGCTAGCACGTGGGCCAGTTTGCTCATGAAGATTCCCTGRTGTTTATGTAGTTGCAAGTTGGTGTTGGTGGAAGGAAGTCCCGAGGAAGGTTTGAACCCGACATCCTGTCTCCTCTTCCGCTTGCATATTTCAAACGCTCACCAGACCTGGAGGCAAATAGTGACAAAATAAACATGAATTACTCTGCTCTCACTTGCTRCTCTTCTATAGGAACAAAATAAATAGGCTTGCTAATCTCTCAAAGCGATTACATGGCCATTGCAAATACAGGCTGTGTTTTYAGTTGATGAAGTGCTTCCGTTCAAGGATTTCTCAGAAAAGTGCTCTGGCTTAGTGGTTTTCTAATAGCCTTTGGATTTGTACATCTACAACAATGACTTTTAAATTCTTGGTGGTAATACAAAGACGCAGGAAATGCACATTAAGTGACAGTGCTMATCTACTCAAGGCAAAAAAGTTGATGGGAAATACACTTTTTCCTTGCATTGAACACTGCCTGATTGTGCCTCTCCCCATGCTGTAAAAGCCAAACCCGAAGAAAAAATTGAACAGCTGCTGATTTGGGACTGAGATTGCAAGGGTCTCCCCTGGCCAGGGGGTTAGCTGGATCAGATCAGATATCCTTCAGGATAAAGGCAGAGGCAGAGTTCATCCTGTGTTAGGCTTTGGGGCTTACAGCAGAGCAGGAGCTGGAGTTATGTGGCTCTCTCTTAAATGAGTGCTTTGTCTGCCTGTGTTTCCTAACATCGACACCCTCCGGCATTGCTGCTCGCAGACCTTTCAGTCTTTCAGCCTCTTTCACTCCCCACTTGACTCTTTTCAGCCTGAGCCTTTTKGGGCAAAAAACACACTGTCTGCCCTCTCCTGAGAACTCAGCGCAAAGCAAATGGGCTTGGGAGAAAGAGCGTGACGTGTATGAGAAACCTGCTCAGTCTGGCCCCTTCTGTAATGTCTTCTTGCAGCCCAGCTTGAAATGTGTGCTTATACTACTGTGTTAGCAGTATCTTTCTTCTCTGGCTGCTTTTAAACCTTTACTTGAATTTTAAAACTAAGAGTAGTATACATGCTGCTTATCAGGGATTTTCCTGCTTTTTCTGAGCTGATGAATAGCAAGCCCTTGAATAACTGCAGTGCTTTCAGCCCTTCTGTTTTCCTTCTCTGCAAAATGCATGGTTGGGAGCCAGTTATTTTTGGACCCAAAACATAGATCCTTTGCTTGAAACAAGAGAGGCTCTGCAGTTCTCTGCGGATAGAACTGCCTGTGAAGCTCCCCCTTGGAGAAAAGACTTTAAACAGGACCCAGATTCCTGGGAACATGATCCCACCTGCACCTTGGCAGAGGGGAAGCAGAAGGTTTGTGGTGTCACTCTCTCCAGGTAGGTTAGGTCTGAAATGTAGATACYCAGTGCTCATAGCCTGATCCGGGGGTGGGTTTAGTCACTGCAAATGCAGATTTTTTCTGCAGTTTATCACTTATCACTGGCTCTTTGGCAGGTACCTGCTGAGCTAGGTGACTTTGCCGCTTGCGGTCACATCAGGCCTTGTGCCAGGCATTGCTGCTCAGGCTGGAAGCTGTCTGCTCTCCCCTCCGACTCCCTAGTGATCCAGAAAGAGGAGGCTGATATTTTCCCTAGGGTTTTTATGGAGMTGGCTTTCCACCAGCGTGGGAACGCTGAAACGTGGCATGTGCTGGCCCTTCGCATAGGTTTGACTGAATAAGCTTCCAGTCCCCGATTTTTCATGGCTTCCTTAGTTGCAGCCGGTAGATTTGTGCTGCCTCATTGCAAATGCAGCTTCCTCTCCTTTTCCTCCTCCTCCTCCAGCTGCTCTCTTTGCTCCAAACCTACTGCTGTGAGGTTCCAAAGCCAGATGCTYGGCAGTATTCATTTCACAGCAGCAGGCTGGGATGTCCCAAGCCCCACGGATGGCTGCAGCACATGTAGCAGCCGGAGGAGCTCGGCCTTGGGGGAGCCAACATCCTACCCTAGGCACTGGCCAGGCTGGGGGGTGAAGGGTTGGCTGGAGTTATCCCCACACTATGTGGCTGGCTTTTCTCTTAGCTTCTACCTCCCAACGCAGCCACTTTGGAGGAAATCACACCAGAGTTTTTGCACAGAAGTGCTGAGGAGTCAGCAGTCCTGCTAATTCCTTGCTTCTCCTTTCTCTATAGCTCTAGTGCAAAGGTAGGAAATGCCAAAATGCTAGGATGGGGACAGCCTGACTAAACCCTACACCAGGTCTCTTTACCTCCTGGGAGACAACGTTTAGCCTCCACGCAGCATAATGATCCAGTTGAACTGGTGTTGGTGCTTTTGTGGTTGCAGTGTATTTTGCTAAATTGCTGCTGTCTGTTTCCTGGATGGAACCAGACCCTAGCACTTCATCCGAGCAGTAATTGCCTCTCTCTCCCTGCAGCCTGACCTGCTGAACTTCAAGAAGGGCTGGTTGACGAAGCAGTACGAGGACGGGCAGGTGAGTCTCGGAGGAAACACTCCATTTGGATCGGTTCTGTGGCAAATCCCAGCTTCTGGCAGGTCCCACCCACCTGTAAAATCCAGGCAACTTGAGAAGAGCCTGGTGCCGTGACCAGTTCTGCCTGCAGACAGATTTCTGTGTCGATGGCCTGGGGAATAAGCTCCTTCATGGCCTGGAAAACAAAAAAGGATCATTTCAGTCCACCTGGTTCTTGGGGTAGTGCTCAGTCAAGCCTGGCAGGAGTCCTTCTCYCTGGGAGCACAGGCTCTTCACTGATCTGTCTTTTAAAAACTGCTGCACAGCAGCAAAGAGCCCGATGCTGGATCTTAATTACTGGCAAGGGCTCAATGAGGACAGTGTGCCAGGTTTTGAGCCTCTTCAATGTCCCACGTGCCGGCCCTGCACGAGGCTGCTCTCAGCATTAATGAAGCCGGGCTGGCTTTGCAGGGCGGATCAATATTGGGTCGGTGCTGCGGATGGGAGAAGGCAGATGCAGGCGCTGGGACAGAGCTGCTGGAGGGAATCTGTGCAGATCCCAAGCCAGACAAGGGCAGCTACGTGTGAGCCCTGCACCGACGGGGTTTGTATTGGAGCAGGAATAGCTGGTGCTCTGTCCCGCAGCAGTTTCAAGGCCCCACTTCTGGGCAGTGTGTAACGGGTTTCCAGGGAGTCAGGACAGCCTGGATAGTAGCCCTGGTTTCGTGTTCCCCTTCTCTATTCGCCTCTTCTCCCTTGCGACCCAGCGACCTCTTTGGCATCAGTAATGAGGCTCAGATGAGGCTCCCAGAGCGCTGAGGGAGCGAAACCGAGCAGGAAAAACCATCTGTGTCGTGGCATTAACAGAAGCATCCGCTTTGCCTGTGGCCCTGCCCAGCAGGGAGAGCTCCCACAGCAGAGCCTGGAGCCCGGCACCGATGCCGGTGCCCACGTGCAGCCCCTTCCCTGCCAAGGCTTCCCTGGATGCCCTGCAGTGAACAGTGGCCAGGGCTCCAGCTACTCGCTGGCCCTCGCTGCAGTGAGCAGAGGGCACGTCCGTATGCAGCCACGTGTGAATCAGGCACGGGGGCCAGCGCTGTGTTGATTTACGGCTCCCTCGGAAGCGCCTGCCTCGCACCGGGAGAGTGCAGAAGGTGTGTTTGTAGAGAGGGAGTGCCAGGAATTGGCTCTGACTCCATTTCTAGGTACTGCAGATAAAGCAGGAGCATTTTTTTCTTTTAAAATTAAAAAAGGCAGCTCTAAGGCTTCAAGTGCAGCCACTAAAAGCCTTGTTTTGCCGGTGGAGCTGATGGGAAGGGCTCCAAAGGCCCTGGTGGCTCTCTCAGTCTGTGCTGCTGTCACACACGGAGGGTTAATGCCAGCTGGGGACCCTGCACTCCYTTAGCACGTCTGCTCAGCAGCCACAGCGCGAGCAAAGCTCATGTCCTGGCGCTGGAAACCACATCCTTGTCTCACCATGGGGTCCCCTGTGTTACAGCTCCTTCCACTCTTCCCTTTACCCTGGGAAAGCTGGAGGCCTCTCCATGAAAACTGTCCTCAGCAGATCACAGGGCAAGAGGGGAGAGGCAAGCCTGGAAGTGGCTCCCTGGAGCTGGGGGGCTATTCCAGCTCTCCGGCACCAGAGGAGCAGATTGGTAACAGTCCAATGTTGCTTGTTTCCTAGTGGAAGAAACACTGGTTTGTGTTGACGGATCAGAGCCTGAGATACTACAGGGATTCAGTGGCGGAGGAGGTAGGTGTCTCCTTTCTGGAGTTAATCCCTGCCCATTCTGCTCTGGGATAAGCCCCAAATCTCTCCAGTCAGCTCACAGTGCCTTGCATGTGTCAGCCATCCAGGTGGGCCGTGTCGAGTCCCATTGGGCTTGAGGGGCTACATGCAAAAAAGAGGGAATGGTGAGAAATCAGGAAAGAGCACAGAGAGGGGAACCGGGGCTCCTGCAAGTCCGTGCTGTGCTTTTAATTTGCAAGTTAAAATAAATAGCACTTCTTCCCCTCTGCAGGCAGCTGACCTGGATGGGGAAATCGATTTATCTACGTGCTATGATGTTACCGAGTACCCGGTGCAGCGAAACTACGGCTTCCAGATCCACGTAAGGAAACCGTGGGAAGGAGGGATGAGCTGCAGGGAAGGTGGGAGCGCGGCTGTGCACGCAGGGATCTGCTTGCGGCAGCCTCTGGAGCTGGCGGGAGCAGACTGCTCCTGTCGTGCAGCTGCAGTCCGTGGGAAGGGAAATAGCTTCCCGGTCTCCCCAGAGAGACCACCCTGTGTCCTGAGCCATGTGCTTGAGAGCTGCTGCTCTGTGCTCTAAGGAGCTGGGTTTGCTTTATGGAAGTGGAGGGGGAAAGGACTGGTTTTTGTCTCAGGGACTCAGCAAAACCAGTTTAGTTATAGAGAAATCTTGGTTCTCGCTTGGAGCTGTGCAGGGAGCGGGGCCTGCAGCTGGATTCGCCTTCCAGGCAGCAGCCAGTGGGACTGGGCGAGGGGTGTGGATGGGCCCCGCAAGGTGTCCAGCAGGACAGGATGGTGCTGAGCCAGTCCCCTCCTTTCCCTAGACTAAAGAAGGGGAATTCACCCTCTCCGCCATGACGTCTGGAATTCGCCGGAACTGGATTCAGACCATCATGAAGCACGTTCGCCCCACCACTGCTCCTGATGTCACAAGGTAGAGACGGGCAGAGGCTGGAGACTGGCTGGGGCTCGCAGTCCCCACAGTTTGTGGTTTGCAATGCTAGAATCACCCTTTCCTTATTCTCTTCCTTTCCTCTTTCTGAGTCTGTTCCTGGAAGCTCTGGCTCTTTCTGGTATCCCTGTATCTGGGCTTAATTTGGAAGCACTTTGTGGGGCTGCTGATATTTGAGTTACTCTTTTGTGTTCAGATTTCAAAGAGGGWTGAAAATGTGGCTTTAATTTGTGCATAGGAATATGAAATACTGTTCCTTTATCAAGGCTCCTCTGGATTCCCACCAGGTATTGTGAAACCACTTGGAGTCAGTCATGCTGGGTTCCCCCTTTCCTCTGGCTACTGTTCAGCAAGAGCTGCCTGTCCCCTCCATGGGTCACATCAGCGCAAGCCCAGGGTTAAATTAGAAGCCATTTGGCKCTGGTTGTTGTGAACTCCAGCCAGCAGAGAGTCTTCCTCCTTCTTTTGATCTTCCCTATCACTGCAGCAGCTCCTTCCCTTTTGCTTCAGTGATATTAGTGTCTTCTAGTGCTTTCAGTGCCAGAGGAAGGGATCCCTACAGTTCATAGAGTACCTTCCACGAGTGCTTGTGGTTATGGGCAAAGGGCATTTGACCTTCTCACAGCCAGCTGTGTCAGCCACACTTGTATGGGCCGCCTGGTACAGACCTAGTGGACACAGCCACGCAGTTAACTCCGTCTCCAGGCCTTACCATAGCTGCAACAAGCAGATCCCGGCCGGATTAGTCCAGGCCTTGGGGCTTGGCTCTTTTCACCCAGTGCTGTTTAACTGGATCTACTCCAGTCTCTCCTTCCCTTTCCTGCTTGACACTCGAATGCCATTTCCCAGCCCTGCCCCAGCTCTCTGGTGGATCTCTCATGGGTCTCTGGGAAGCCGCCTCTTTCCTCACTCCTGTGTATGTTTGATTTCCATGCAATCCCAGGAAAAACTTCTCTTTGAAACTATCCGTGCTGAAGCCCAGGTTGGAAAACTGTGTTCTCTCCTGTATTAACGTTTTGTGGTTTGTATATCTTGTGATTCACTGCATGCTCCTCTTTTCTGCACTTCGGATGGGAAGTCCTGCAGTTTTCATTTATTTTCTTTCTTTTCTTTTTTTCCCCCCCTTTTTTTTCTTTTCTTTTAAATAAAAGCCAGAAAGAAGGGAAGAAGCAACTTGATTTCCCCACACTGGTATCTTCCGATGTGAATAGATATGAAGGTGAAGACCAAGGAGATTTGAGGGGACTTCTCAGCCTTTAAAAACAGTGTACACTTGTAGTCTACCAAGTTACTGCACGACAGCAGTCCTGTGCTCACTGGCTTTGCATCCACTCCTAGCCTGGGTGAAGTGTCTTGCCTTGACTTAGCCTAGTGAAAGGGTCTGAGTGCAGGTACCTGTTGGGCAGGAACTTGTTAAGCTGTGTTAAGAGGTGTTGAATCTGAATCTGAAGGTGAGGAGGGAGGGAGTCATAGGTGCCCTCCTGTTGTTTTTCACTGAGCTGATTTTAGAAGGGATGAAAGTGGGTTAGAGTCCCGGGTGAGTTAGTCACGTCACTGAAGGGCTGTCATTGTGAACTGGGACGGGCGTCCGGAGATGACAACAAGGTTCTGCTCACAAGGTGCCTTTCAGCACCCTTTGCTGCTGAGCGCACCAGAGCACAGGGTATCCCAGCACGTCTGGGGTATCCTTGGGCATGTCATAATATCCTGCACTTGGGAAGCAGCTTCTGGAGAACCAGAGGACAGAATGCCAAAGGTTTGCCATGGCAGGATGGCAGATCTCTCACCCTGAATATCAGGATGCCTTGAGGRTGAGAAGCTTCCCATGAGCTAACTGGGGAGATGAGGCCCAGCTCCGTACTGGGGCAACGGGAGCAGCACACATGGAGGGTGACAGTGTTGAACCTGTCCCAAGGAGCCAGTCTGACACCTCACGCTCGCTCTGTCCTCCTTAGCATCTGCAGTTAACCCTCTGTGATGTCTCCACCAAGCCAAGCGCATGTTTGCTCTGTTACTTAAGTCCTAATTACTGTTTATATCTTAGCATTTGTGTCAACACCCCCGGTGGCGGTAGGTGCTGTACTGATCCCTTCCCATAAAGAACCATGCAATCCACAGAGGCACTAATTACACCGTGCTAACGATGACCGTGCAGATAAAAAGTTTCCACAGGAAGGCAGGTGATTGCTTTAGTGCCAGGTACTTATTTAGCTCTCCAGGCATCAATTAGGCTGAGTGTCCCTGTGCTCCTATGGGTAGTTGTTTGCAGCCTTCATGCATTTCTTGCTCTCTGCGGCCGGGCTCTCGACGTGCACTGCCCACCGTGCTGGAAAATCTTGGTGCTGCCTGAACCATAAATGTCCTTGGGAAGCCAAGACCTCTCACATAATGTGAGTCCATTGGTCTGAGCTGGAGGAAATGGGAAATACTTGAGCATGGTTAATAGCCGAGGGGCACTTCAGTGGGATGAGATAAGATGAAATGAGATAAAATAAAAAGCWTTGGGTCAGTGTTTTGAGTCTGCTAATTCAGTTCCCTGTGCCCCCCTCTCCCTTGCTTGACTCACGTCCCTTGCTCTTTGAGAATCTGCAAAGGAGAAGTAAGCTAGGGAGAGATGTTGCCTCAGAAAGAGCTGAGATTCTCCCACGTGGTATTTAGAGCAACATTATTTCTGGCTTCCAATGTTGTACCAGAGGCCCCCGGACTCCCTTTCTTTCTAACTCTCTTCTCCATTTTAAGACTCCATCTCATCAGTGTTTCACTTATTTAAAACGCAGCTGTAATCACTAAACTGCCTCCAGATTGAAAGCCTGGCTGGAAGCATGCTTTGGATCCATGCAATATCTCCCAATGGCTGAGGAGCGAGGAGGTTTCATCATGTTGCCTTTCAGGGTTGTTTTATTAGCTGTAAGTGACAGAGCTGAAGAAGGAATTATCTCCAAGCTGGTTTTAGCCTGTAACTGCCAGAGTTTCTTGAAACTCAGCGCTGCAGAGCCTGTGGTTTGATCATGGATGAAAGTGCATCGGAAGATACTAGCCCTGGACCCACGCAGCGGCATCTGTTCTGCWCCGCTCTTTGTCTTGGGCGTGCACACGTATATGAAGTCTTTGGCAGGGGGAGCTGGGTTTTGTTAGGAGTTCTGGAGCAGAATCCATTCCCCTGCTGCTCCCTGTAAAGAAGAGCAGCCTCCGCGCATGTAATCCCATGGTTTGGAAGCACCTTAGTGCCGATTTGCCTGCAAGGAAAGGCCCCTGGAACCGCTTGCTGGCTCTTTCCCTGTACACCCTTCAAGAAGGCAGCGCTGAAGTCTTGAGCCCCGGGGGCTTCTGTCATTTGGAAAGGGACAGGAGCAGGAGTGGAGAGAGCCAAGGGCCACCCTGAACGGCCGAAATCTATGGGAGAGGCTTGTGGAAAGGAGGCGGCTTTGGGGGGTCTCATAGCAGAGAGGTTTCAGCAAATGCCCTCCTTTGTCCCTCAGGGAAGTTCACGTACTGCTATTTTCTTTTTGAGTTTTGATCTGCATGTTATGAGGCTGGCATGTCTACGTTTAATGAGCTAATACTGCATTACAGATTATCCCTAGGTTGGAAACTTCCTTCCCCTATTAACTTTCCCTGCTTGACGAGTATGTCTTCCCTCTCAACCCGCCATGCTCTAACTCAGCACTCAGTCATTCCTTGCTTGAGAAATTGGTCTTATCAGTGACTGTTGCTGCATTCTGCCTAACTCTTGCTCTCCAACGGCTGCGTATATGCTATGCAGCCCGCCTTGCCGTGTCTCCCAGTGTCTCCGGCAAGGCTGTTTTCCCTCGGGGACATCCGTGCTTTCGGTACAGATAGTGGCACGGAGAAGTTTTCGAACCATTAAGCCCCACACTTTGCCAAGCTCAAGGAAAAACGTAACCCCGTTTCCAAACACTGCTGAGAACTGTTCTGTGCTTCGTCCTCCTCCTCCTCCTCCCYGCTGAGCACTAGCCGGGGCGCTCCCAGTCTCCTGCAAGCTGCGGCCCTGAAGCCAGAGTGACTTTGATGGGACCAGCGGCACCCKCCCAGCGAGCATGTGACGATGGCCTCGGTGGTGGCCGTGTCTGCACGGAGCTGGGGAGGCAGACACGGAATGGGGGACAAGCTCCTAGGGGGAACCGCAGAGGAGGTCAYGTCCGCAGTGGAGGTCCTTGCTCGGCGGTCGCTGCTTGGCTGTAGCCTCATGGGCTGCTCTTCCATGCGCACTCCCTGGTCCCACAGTGGAGGGGACGRGAGACGGGGATGGTCGGAAGAGCCAAGGAGGGAGCAGGGCTCTCCAGGGGGAGCGTTGGGCCGCCAGCGAGGCCCCGGAGCTGTGCGGGGCCGCTTGCATCCCGGCTTGTGCACGCCGAGCGCTTCCCGCCCTGGGCACCGGATTCACGCCAAGGGCAGTGGCAGGAGGAGTCGCTCCCACGTGCCGGGCCGCTCCGTTGCTGCTGGGAGATGGACGGGTAGGGAGGCACRTGGCAGTTGCTTGGGCTTCGAGCAGCCCCTTTTCACCCGACCGGAGCAGCAGCTCTTTGAGGCATGCGTGGGAGAGCACGAGGGTCTCTCTCTGCATCTCTGCCTGATGCTTCCCTTCCTCTCTCTGTCCCCATAGCTCCTTGCCAGAGGAGAAAAGMAAAACGAGCTCTTCCTTCGAGACTAGCCCAAAGCCGAGCGAGAAGCCGGACACCGAGCAAGTCGAGATGGATCCGGAGCAGAAGCGGAGCCGGGCCCGGGAGCGCAGGCGGGAAGGACGGTCCAAGACCTTTGACTGGGCTGAATTTCGCCCCATCCAGCAAGCCCTGGCGCAGGAGCGGGCAAACGCCTCCGACTCCTCCAAGGGCAGCACCACCGCCTTCCCCAAAGACAGTGGTGCTCTGGACACAGATCCGGGAGAGCTGGAGAGGGAGCGTGCCCGCCGGAGGGAGGAGAGGCGCAAGCGCTTCGAGATGATCGATGCCGTGGACGGCGCCGGGCCGGAGGAGACGCTAAGGATGGAGGTGGACAGGATCCCGGGCCTGCCCGGCACCGCAGACATGAAGCCGCAGAACGTTCACGTGGAGATCGAGCAGCGCTGGCACCAGGTGGAGACGACCCCGCTGCGCGAGGAGAAGCAGATCCCCATCGCGCCGCTGCACCTCGCCGCCTCGGACGACCGGGACGAGGGGCTCGCAAAGCAGCACTTAACCGCGCTGCTGGAGAAGGAGGTAAAACAGGGTGTGTGGGGCAGCCACGGTGCCCTTCGATTTAGTGGGACACCTGAGCAGAGACACTTCATAATAACAAGAAGTGTGGATGCTCTCAGGTCCCCTAAGGACCTAGCAGGGAACCAACTGGCATGTCCCTGCCATTTCCAATGGATCCAACTGCATTTTTCCCTCACTGCTTCAAGGATGGGTGTTGCAGTGATGGTGTTTTACTCCTCCTTTCTAGCCAACCCATCCTGTATGGACCAGAGGCAATTTCTGTTAGTCATTCTCCAGCCTTCCTCTGATGCTAGGAGCACAGCTTATGTACATTAATCAGACTGTAAATTTAAGCTCGTAATTCTGTGAGTCTCTGCRTCTCTGGAGATTTGAGGGTGTAAGCATGTCTACAAAAATATCCACTGGCTTGAGTGGCTCTGTGGCTCACCCCACCAAGGTTCACTTTTCATGGAGAYCACAGCAAGCAATCCTATTTTAGGAGAAGAAAGGAGAAAGCTCAACTCACTCAGATGAGTCTGTGTCTGGGAAAACAGAGATTGCTGTTAGTCAGGATTAAGATGCCTTAGTAAGAATGAGGGGGATGCAGGCTTGGCCTAACCCAGAGCATGGCCAATGTGAACCAGGATAGGATGTGCCTGGCACTAGTTGGTGCCATTCGTCCTTCACTGCAGTGAGCAGTACAAATTAAAATAATGCATCTCTTAGTTCTTTTAGGGGAGGGATATTCCCTGGCAAAATAAGATTCAGATCCCAGAGCGGAGCCCTGTTCATTCTGCCATACCTTGCTTTGAGCGGCTGTCTCCTGAAGGCTGTTCCCCTGCCAAAACGTGGCCTTTGTCTCTTTTCATATTCCACCAGTTGGAGCAGAAGCAGAAGGAGGCCTTGGAGCTCCTGGAGCAGAACCGGCACCTGCAGGACGAGCTGAAAGTGGCTCTGGGCCGGGAACAGAGCGCCCGCGAGGGCTACGTGTTGCAGGTAGGAGAGCAAGAAAGAGAGAGAAATCTGGCTTTCTGTGCACCTGAAAGGGAACCTGTTGGGCTTCAGTCCAGGGTGTTCATGAGTGCATCCTGGTTAAAGCAGAAATGTGCAAAACGGAGTGGGTCCAAATCCAAGAGGTTTGAACCATCTGTCAGTATTGGTTATTCTCTAGCGTTCTGCGGATCATCTGTTTAGCCAGCACACTGGTCTGCGATCCATTAGAGAGCTCTCCTAGGAGTGGTCACAACTACTGTGAGGCAGAAGGTAACACTAGCTACAGGTTTCCCAGGGGGAAGGAAGGTTCCCCAGGGGCAAAGTCCTTATCCCAGACCTTCCCGTCCAGCAGTGGTGTCACTGAAGGTGTCCTAAACATCTGGTTTGCCCCTGGCAAACAGGGTGTTCCTGCGGCTGTTACCTGGGCAAACGCAGCCCGTGCTGGTGTATCTGCAGTCAGCGTGGACTGTGCCGTGACAGCCGGGCCCTGCTGGCGGGGCACGTGGGGGCTTCTTGTGGTAGAAGGTGTCTTTCCCGGGAGTGTGGTCTGGACATTGCGGCAAAAGAGGCAGGAACGTCTCTTGGAAAGAAACCTTTCCTCCCCGACTCCAGAAAGTAGGTATTTTGCCAAGCCTGTGGAGCTGTTTCTGCTCGCTTTAGCAAGTATTTAGTCCTCTTCTGTGCAGCAGTAGCGTTTGGACCTGCTAGAATCTGTTTGGTCAAACTGGTGTGGACCCAAGTGGCCTTCCATGGCAGCGCTGTGTGCTCCCACGGCCTGGTGTTGACCCCGAGCTTTATGTCTGTATTTCTCAAGGGAGAAACTTCCTCTGAAGAAACTGCAAAGGTGGAGGAACTGTCCCGAGCAGGGAGGCACGTTGCCTTCTTTTCCTGTAATCTCCTCTATGGAGTTGCTGTTAATGCTTTTATTAGTATATCCAGCGACCCCACACTGACAGTACTTGCTTGGAGGAGTGGCATTTTCACTATGGTGACTTCAGAAGAGGGAGAAAGTCCTTGGAATCCAAGCCAGGAAATGACCTGGATCTAGTGAGTCAGTGCTAGAGACAGCACCAGCCCCCTTTGCATGGCAGATGCAGAGCCCCATAGCCTATAAAAGGAGACCAGCAAGAGGGCAGGTTGGTCGAAGGGGGAAGCATGATGGGAAACCTGGATGGTTCCTCCATCTATCCAGATGGATAGACTGGATCTGTCTGTCCGCTGGATTTGCCACTTCACGCTCTGCTGCTTTCCCTTTCTSGGACGTTTTCAGTCTCGCGTTATGGCAGCTCCCGCGTTGGCCACCAGCCCTGGCAGTAGCCCGTGTTTCTGCAACAACAGATGAGCTCCCACATCCCCAGAGCACCAACATCTGACCTCCCTTAGCCCAGAGCCCAGAAACCAGTAGATGGGCAGAAAAATCCAATGCTGCATCCGCCGTCAGATTGGCCATGTTGAAACTGCAGCTCAGCACAAGGGCTAGGGGCCAGAGACAAAGTCTGCAGAAGGGCTGCACAGACGAAGACAGCAGCAAGAGCTGGCCCAAACTTGTGCCTAAAAGTTAGACGGGGTTTCTAGAGGGTTTACTTACTCCAGTCTACTGGAGTAGGGAAAACCCTACTTACTAGTAGGGTTTTCCCCCCTTCTTTCCTTGGAGCAGGCGGACCTAGCACTGCTGAGGTCTAAGGGACATGAAGGAGGTTTCAATTTGGGAAATGTCATGATGTTTGTTTGGGTTGACCCTCTGAATCTGTGTCCTCCATGAAGCCAAAATCTAGGAGGTGACTTTAATGGGCAGTGGAAAAGAGTAGCAGAGAACATCCAGTCGAGGCATCTGGCTGCTGCTGCCCTGGCCCTTCTGCTTTGCATGGGGCCACCCACCCCTTGCTGGCCGATGACACCGGGCTGGACTTGGGGGACCAAACCCCAGGCCTTGGCGCTGCTGGGTCCAACCCGACTCAAAAGATGCTGCACATTTCTTACCGAAGACGCTGGAAGTTAACCAGGACTGATGCATGTGCCTTGCACTGAAGCCCTCTCCGGCCTCGTGTAACCCTTCCTCTCTGTCCTGCTCTTGAGTTTAATCGTGGTGGAGCCACCCCAAAGCTTTGAACACTAACAGGGGAGGAAGYACGGGGGCCTCACGCTCCTCTCTTTAATGTCCCTGTGATACCTCCCAGCTCTGGCCATGGTGGGAGGGAGGGGGGCCACTTACTAACCTGTCCCGGGGAATATTCTTGCATGTTGTTGGTGTTAAGCATGAAATTTAACTTAACATAACTGAGTGTCACATCTGTGGGCTTTCCTTAGCAGCAACCAGAGTCCAGCAAGGCAGGCCAAATTCCTAGGCTTAACGCTGTGCCTCTCTCGCCTCTTCCTGTCTGTGTCTTTTTTTGAAGATACATAATTTCTGTCGCCTTTTGCATGACTCTCTTTGTGAGTTTTCTCTTTGCATGCTCCACTGCTTTGGTTTGAWTCTCACAAAGGTTGGTTTCTTTCATCTTACATCCTCATCATATCTTTCTCTGCCCTTCACTTGTCGGGCTTTTTATTTTGTCCTTCATTTTTTTTTACAGGTAGGCAAATTAGACCCTTCCTAGCCTTAAACTTTAGCGTAACAGCATCTCTTTAATATGGTGAGCAGCCAGCAAGCCCTGTCTAGCAGTCACAGAAACGACCTTGCCACGATGGCTGTCCCATCTGCCTGCGTCCTGGTGGAATGTGATATCATTTGCCTTCACCTCACTTTCCTGTTGTTGCTTTTGTTTGGTAGGACTGTGTTACCTCAACTGTGCACTTTTTGTTTCGCAACAAAACAAGCTAAGGTGCTAAAACGAGAAGTTCCCTCCTTCTCAGCCTATTCCCGTCCTCTTCCTCGTTCTCACTCACAGTTTCTCTCTCGTTTTTCTGTCTCTGTTTTACTGCTGGTGTTTCTTTTTCATTGTTTTTTTGGTTCTGTTTGGTTTTGACTTTTTTTTTTTTTTTACTGTTACTGTAGAGCTGTTTTGATGTTACGGTCCGTGTTTTCTGTTACTGGAAAGCAGTTGTCACGCAATTAAAAAACCAAAAAGTCGGTTAAAACAAACAAACAAACAAACACAAAATTGTGCCAAGAACAAATCTTCCCAATTGGAGCATGTGGGTAGCAGCCAAAACAAGGCAAGGAGCCTTTCCGTGGCCCGCCTGGCCAGAGGTGTGACACTCAGAAGGGAGAGCCGAGAGTGTTACTAATTAGTATTTAACCAATTTTTTTAAGACCGAGGTGGCCACCTCGCCATCAGGTGCCTGGCAGAGGCTCCACAAAGTCAATCAAGACCTCCAAAGCGAGCTGGAAGCCCAATGCCAGCGCCAAGAGCTCATCAACCAGCAGATTCAGTCGCTGAAACGTAGCTATGCCGAGGCCAAGGACGTGATCCGGCACCACGAAGTGGAGATCCAGAGCCTGCAGGCCAGGCTCAGTAACGCGGCGGCCGAGTTGTCCATCAAAGAGCAGACGTTGGCCAAGCTGAGGAACGACCTGAGGAGCGAGAAGGAGAAAGCCAAGGAGCAGCTGGAGGAGTGGCAGCACGGCGAGGCCACGCTGAGCTCGCAGCTGAAAGCCAGCGAGCAGAAGCTGAAGGCCGCGGAGGCCCTGCTGCTGGAGAAGACGCAGGAGCTTCGGGATCTGGAAATGCAGCAGGCTTTGCAGAGGGACCATCAGAAAGAGGTGCAGAGGCTCCAAGATAGGATCGCGGACCTGAGCAGGCAGCTGAACGCTAGCGAGCAAGCCCGGATGCTGATGGAAGAGAAGTTGCAGAAGAATTAYGAGGCTTTGCTGGAAAGCTGTGAGAGGGAAAAGCAGGTTTTGATACGGAGTCTGAAGGAGGTAGAGGATAAGGCCAATGAGTATGAGAATCAGCTACGAAATAATGAGCAGCAAATGGAGATTCTGCAGAAAGAGAAACTGAGTGCAAAATTTGAAGGCAGTGAGATTGTCCACCAGCTGGAGGAGCAACTGGTGATGAAGGAGGCCAGTATCCTGAAACTYGCGGAGCACATCAAGGAGCTTGAGAGGGAGAGGGATCAGATCAAATGTAGGTTTCATGAGCTCATGAATCAGGTTGCGGAGTCGGATAATGAAGTTGCAAAGCTGCAAGCAAAGTTGAAAATGGAAGAGACCAACTACCGCAACCTGGAGCAATCGTTTGAGGAGATATCAGATCAGTTCCAGAGTGTGCAGAAGGTGCTGAAGGAAAAAGAAGAGGAGCTGAGACATGTTAAGGAAATGCACTTGCGGATTGTGGAGAAGAAAGATCAAGACCTCAGTGAGGCTCTGGTTAAAATGGTTGCTTTAGATAGCAGTTTAGAGGAGACTAAAATAAAGCTAAAGGCCAAAGAGGAGGCTTTAAAGAAACTGGTTAGTGTAGGCCCAGCTCCATGTGCTGAGGAGGCAGAAGAGCTTGGCCCTGGTGTTGAGACTGATGAAGGTCATCCTGCTCAACTGGGGCAACATCTGCAAACTCATGATGTCCTTCCAGGTCTGAATTATGCACCCAAGGAAGAGGATGATGACGTTCTTGAGACCAACCAGAGGCAAGTTGAAGAATTTGATTCTCCAGCCAAAGCCGCAGAGCTCCAAGACCAGGAGTTGGTTCAGAAAGCCCTGGCAAAGCCTGATATAGGAATCATGGGTGCCAAGAGGCAAAGAATCCGTTTCTCGAGCATCCAGTGCCAAAAATATATACACCCAGATGGATCTGAGAAAAACTGGACAAGCAGCACTTCCTCAGACACGAGTCAAGACCGATCGTTGTCTGAAGAAAGCATGTCATCAGAGCCAGCTCTTGGCTACCCATCCTCAGGGACGAGTGACTCTGAGACCTATCTCTCCATCATCCATTCCTTGGAAACCAAACTTTATATTACAGAGGAGAAGCTCAAAGATGTGACCATGAAGCTGGAAAGCCAGCACGGGCATAACCAGGAGACGCTGATAGCCCTTCACCACCAGTGGGCCAGCACGGAGTCCCAGCTGCGGGAACAGCTTCAAACCAGCTTATCCCAAGTCAGTGCTCTGATCTCACAGCTGGAAAACGAGAGGCAGGAAAAGGTGAAACTAACAGAAAACCACGTTAGCGAGCTGGGAGGTTTCCAAATGAGAAATGATCAAGCACTGACTTGCCTGGAGAAATGCAGGGAGCAGCTAAGATCTCTGCCCAAATCAGACAAGGAAAAAGAGGGTGATTTGTTTCTTGTTACTCTGTCCAGCATGGAAACAACCTTATCAAATGCAATCCAAGCCTTAAGAGGGGCACTAATCTCATCTGAGTATCAGCAGGGTGAAGGCCTTATCACACAGAGCCCGGCCTCAGAAGGAGTTTGTTTTAGTGAAGAGGAACGTGCCTGCAAGGAGCAGCAAGTGGAAATGGTCGATGCAGGCCAGCTAAGGTGGCTTTCTGACAGGGTGGCGTTTGAAGCCTCTCTAATCAACCAGATAGCAGAGTCTTTGAAAAATGCAAGCTCCGAGATATCTCAGATTCTCAGAGAGATCCAAGGAACAGCTGAGGTGGTTTTGTTAGAGCCAGCAAATGTTTCTCATACAGCAATTGATTTGGCCGGCGTCCTATCTAAGAAGCTGCTGCTGGAAGGGGAATTTTGGAGCCAGGTGGAGGAGCTAAGAATGCACTTGAGCACCAGAGAAGGAGAAGCAGAGGGCAAAACGGAGACAGCAGGTTTGGGCTTTTCACCATGTTTTCTCAGCACAGTAGCAGATGCTACATTGATCAAGGCAGAACTTGGCTTTGTTGCACAGAAAATGAGAGAGTCTTTTCATCAGAGATTAAAAACTATCGAAGAGGACCTTCATAACACCAAAACAGCCCTCCAGCAACATAAATGCATGCTGGAGGAAATCATCAAAGCATACAGGACTCCTGAGTTTGACGGGGTCATGCATCAGATTTCTGAAGCACTTGAAATCCAAAAAGATGCCTCGGAAAGAACCCAGATCTCATGGGATGGGAACCACGTACAAATGATGCCCTATCAGGAAGTAGCCAAGATGGAGGAGACCTGCAGTTTGCCCRACCGCAGTAGCGAAGCTCTTGTTTCCATTCAAGAAGACCTTGCCCAACAACTGAAGGACAAGTCCAGTGTCCTTAAGGAAATAGCCGTTGCCTTATTATCTCTGCCTCCCGAGGAAGCCATGAGGGATTGCCAGAAACTCCTCAAAATATCTCAGAGTCTTTCATACCRTTCGTGCATGGGCGACCTTGAGCGCTACTCCTCTTTGTTAGTCCAAGATGCAATTGTTCAGGCTCAGGTTTGTTACGCAGCTTGCAGGGTCAGACTAGAGTACGAGAGAGAGCTGAAGTCTTACAAGGAATCCTTGCAGAGCATGGACGCGCTCTGCCAAGAGCGGGTGAAAACGGTGTCTCTGCTTCGGGATGAGTATGAAGATTTGCTCAGAAAGCAGCAGGGTGAATACGGGGAGGTGATAGCCATGCTGGAGCGGGAGAACGCGGACCTCAAAGCAAAAGTGGCCCAGCTTGATGGCCAGCGAAGGTTCTTAGAGGAGGAAGAGCACAAGCACAGCAAGAGCATCAGTGAACTGCAAGGCAGATACGAGGAGGAGATTCGAAACGTGATAGAGCAGCTGAACAGGACAGAGGACGCTCTCAAGGCCGAGCGGACCGAGGGCCTAAACCAACTTGATGCCGTTGTCCGTGATAAGGAGAACATGGAGCGGTACCACCTGGAGCAGATGCAGACGTTGGAGGATAAGTTCCAGGCCAAGATAAAGGAACTGCAAGTGATCCACAGCGAGGAGCTGCAGGCGCTGCAGGAGCATTACAGCCAGAACCTGCAGCAGCTGCAGGAGACCCTGGACGAGTACGAGAGGCAGCAGCCCGAGGCAGCACCCGCGGAGGCGCCGGGCGCCGGGAGCACCCAGCTCCCCGGGAGCGAGCCGGACTCCATGCACGGCCTCCGAGAGCGCATCCAGGAGCTGGAGGCCCAGATGAACACCATGAGAGACGAGCTGGAGAACAAGCACCTGGAGGGAAATGCCTCGACTTTGAGGGAAAAATACCAGAAAGACTTTGAAAACTTAAAGGTTTTGATACTTTTCCTGCTTTCTGCCATTGAGGATYGTGGGAGGGTGCAGTCAGTCATGCTGGCACAGCCTAGGGGCCTCCCCTGGGAGAGCCAGCACACAGTAAGCCCAAAAATGTTAAAAAAAAAAAAAAAAAGCCTCTGTAAGGCAAGTTATTTATTAATGCTTCCTTTTTTTCCCCCTGTGCTGGGGTATTCTAAATGCATTGCTGAAGCCCTCGTCTCCATTGGAGAGGCTCCATCATTGGAAGGGCTCTTTGTGGCAGACTCTGCAGGTTGTGGAAGGAGGGAGAGCTGCAAAATGCCTTGATCATGTCACGCACTCCTTAAGCATATGAACAGTGTAGTGTTTCTTCTCGTACTTGAGGCGTACATTGTGTTTGTGACTTCCCTTTCAAAGCACTCCTGAACTGTCTTTCCCAGCCTGACCAAATCTCCAGTCTGTCTCTGCTGCCCTCGAAACTGGAAGATGAAATGGAAACTTCTGCTCTCAGAATGTGTGTTCCTGGGGAAAGTAGCTGTAAAATCGTGCCAAATTGTATAGCAAAACAAATATCCGAAGTGGCTGAGGGGGAAATCACATCGCCATTATGTTCCAGCACTTCTTTACATAACAAAGAGTGCACAGTTATCAGAAACCCAAACTGGGTGCAGAACAACCCAATGGCAATGAAAAATGTTTGTTCAAATCACCAGGATTGGCTGTAAAACTAACCTTAGATGTTACAGCTTCTAAGAATCCATTAAGTTTGGTGTTCAGCTTTTGATCTGAGACCATTTCCAATGAGGAGCAGGTTTTAGGATGGCAGAGAGGTTCCAAGAGCACGCGAGGAGGCTTCCAGATTGAACACGAGGGGAAGGAGGAGCACCAGGAGATGCACTGGGGCTGCAGGCACAGAGCCAGGCTTTGCTGGCGATGCTTCCGAAGAGCAGTTGTTCTTCCAAGTCAGCAAAAYCAGGTTCAAGTGATGGGAGAACTTGCTTCCAGCAGCAAGATCCTGAGAGACCACTGGGATTGGGAATAAAACGTGACGCAGCTGTAGCCAAATAGTTTTTTTACCCAGTGCTGCCCTATCCCTTCTCCTCCTTCACTTCGGAGGTGAATTGGGTGCTCAAAGGAAAGCTGCTGGGTAGATCAGGGTGATGTTTGGTGTTTACTTCATGTTCTCTGCTCCATCCTCGTGTATCCATGAGGAAGGAAAGCTCCCCAGAGCTGTGCGCACCGCAGCCCTGCTGGTACCAATGAGCGGTCTTGCTTGCGGAGAAGCAAAAGAACCAAAATAGAGGCAATTACTCAAAAATAATAGCAAGCAAAGGTCCTGACATGGCTGTATGCTGCAGAGAGGCAGAAAGAAAATACAAACTTCTCTTGGCTAGAAAGCCAGCCTGGCACTTTAAAGCCTCTCCTATTTATGGGTTAAATTGCTTGTTCCTTCTCTTCTAAACCTGATGGAAAATGTAGTGTCAGTGCTGCAAGGTACTGGTTTGTGCATGTTTGAATATCCTGATTTAAAGCAATGCATTTACAATACATGAAATATTGGAACTGGCAACCAGAACCGTCAAGGACCGTTTAAGATTTCCCTCCAATATTAGGTAGAGAAACAGGAATGCTGCCAGGCTGCTTCACACCGCCCTTGAGTCAGCCAAGTCCCGGCAAGTTCTGACTCTGACTGACAAGTTGCAGAAAACAAGGCTGAGAAAATGAAAAATGCCCCAGGAGCAAAACTTAAAGGGGAGGGAAGGAGTCCCAGAGATGAGAAGCGGGAACCGGAATGACACCCATTACATTGCATTAGGCAACGAACTGGTAACGCTGCAGAGTTTTAGTTAATGCAGGTTGGCAGGTGTTAGACAGCCACAAGCTCTGGGCGGTGATTTTGTCCCCCTAAATTTTCCGTGGAGTCCCAGTGACTCCCTGGGTGGTAGTTGCTCATTTTTCTTTGAAAATACCAGGGCGAATCATGAAGAAATGCCCTGGAATGGGGCTCCCGGAGCTGCTCCCTGCAGCCCTGTTTGCACGGCGAGTCCCGGGGCGCTCGGGCTGGCACCGGACACGCAAACGGGCCCTGCCAGCGGGAGGGCCGAGCGGCAGCTCCTGCCTGCCAAGGCGATGGTTTAACTTGGGGACCCCCTTCAGAAGCCAAGGAGAAGCCCCGGGGGCTCCAGCAGCRGCGCTGGGCGAGCGTCGGGGCTCCAGACCCGCCGTCAGCTGCACGTCGGTTGCATTTGCAGCTTTGCTGGGCAGAACAGCAGCCTGGCACTGCCCATCGCGCCCTTCGGGGCTCCACAACCCCCAGAGCGCCGATCCCAGGAGAGCAGCCCTAAGTCCTGGCCTAAATTCACTTGTGGTAACAAAATCATTAGGTGATTTCCGTGCTGCTTTCGAGGGGATGCTCGGTTGTGCGCAAAGGCGGCGTTGCTGGCGCCAGCCGCTCACAAGTCACCCAGAGGTGGTGGCACCTGCAAAACAAGGCCACAGAAGAGAGCAGAGAGGGCACCTCTGTGGTTTGTGAGGGCACCTCCGTGGTTCGTGACCCGTTGGAAGCCCCGGGTATCCAGCACGTGGCTCCTGGGGGCTCTCAGCCCCCCACTCCTGTGCCAGTCTCCCCACGTCCTTGTCCCTTTTGCAGGCAACATGTGAACGGGGCTTTGCAGCCATGGAGGAGACGCACCAGAAGAAGATTGAGGACCTGCAGCGGCAGCACCAGCGGGAGCTGGAGAAGCTGCGGGAGGAGAAGGATCGCCTGCTGGCAGAAGAAACCGCGGCCACCATTTCAGGTACGAGGACACACCAGAGGACACCCCGTGGGGCAGCTCCTGGGAATGGGGGCACAGGGGCGGTTTCTGCTCGGGTTTGGAGGAGCGGGGCAGGATGGGATCACGGGATATGTGTTCGGGATGGAGGGCCACTTCCAGGCCAGGTATGTCACCCCCTCAGCTGTCACCTCTCTTCTAAGAAAGGCAATAGTCATTCCTGGGATTCACATACTGTTAACTCCACAATTAATTCCTTCTCCAGGGCCACTGGAGCCCAGGGTCTCTGCTTTAGAAGGCCCATAGTTCAGGGAAGAACACGTGAATTGGGCAATTGTCAGACCCCTATGAAAAAGCAGGATTTACAGCAGCCAGCGGTGCCTAACGATGTGATCCTGAAACAGCAGGATGGCTCCCTGYGATGCCTTGCAGCTTTGTTCCCTTTAGCAAGGGAACCCCAAAAATCTCCATCACCCCATAAAAAAAAGGTCCTTTGGGCTGTGCGGTGGCTGTGCCACCTCCTCACACCGTGCTAACCCCCTCGTGCCCTGCGCAGCCATCGAGGCCATGAAGAACGCTCACCGGGAGGAGCTGGAGCGGGAGCTGGAGAAGTCCCAGCGCTCGCAGATCAGCAGCGTCAACGCCGACATCGAGGCCCTGCGGAGGCAGTACCTGTAAGACACCGAGCGCCTCCCTCGCGAGGGTTGCGCGTGCCRAGACCCCTTTCCCATCCTGGGTTTTGGCAGTGAGTTAGGATCAGCTCTGTCACTGCAGGGGGGTCTCATCCCACTGCGCAGGCCCCCCTGTGCCTATTCCCAACAGTGTCCCTGGAGCCCTGGCRTCCTGCTGGGTGGTGTCAGCAGACGGTGCTGCTTTCCCAGCAGCTCTAGTGTGAGGTTTGTGGGAGCAGATCTCACCAAAAGATCTCTAGGTGCCTGGGTCCCRAAATGCTCCAGAGGGGAGGCTGAGCTGGCTCCGGGCTGGAGGTTTTCCCAGGAGTTTGGCTGCGATCCCTTTGCCCTGGGTGCTGTGCAGCCCCTGGGCAGAGCCCGCCGGGCGGCAGCGGGTGCTGCAGCGGCCACGTCTCTCGGCAGGGAGGACCTGCAGTCGGTGCAGCGGGAGCTGGAGGTCCTTTCGGAGCAGTATTCCCAGAAGTGTCTGGAGAACGCCCACCTGGCGCAGGCGCTGGAGGCGGAGAGGCAGGCCCTGCGGCAGTGCCAGCGGGAGAACCAGGAGCTCAACGCCCACAACCAGGTAGGCACCCGCTCCTACCACCTCTGCCTGGGCAAAGCCGACGGCACCGAAGCTCCTGGCAGCTCTGGGCGCCCCRGAAAGCTGGAGAGCAGCCACTGGTTGGGCAGGGGAGATGCAGTCGCAGCCGCTGCTGCGTGTGCTCCGTTCCCAGCAAGGCTCCCCGCTCTCTTGCCAGGAGCTGAATAACCGCCTGGCTGCGGAGATCACGCGACTGCGGACGTTGCTGACCGGCGAGGGCGGAGGAGAGGCTGCTGGGTCGCCTCTCACGCAGGGCAAGGACGCCTACGAGCTGGAGGTGAGTTCTGCGTCCCCCGGAGCGCTGCGGGCCGCGGGGCTGCGTCAGAGGGGCGCGATGGAGGCGGCAGCGCTTGGCGCGCCAGCCCCGGAAAGCCACAGCGCTCTGCATCCCCTGCTCGTCCCATGGGATCCAATGTGTGCAAAGAAGTGGGGAGTGACAGTGAGTGACACGGAGGTGGTGGCCCAAGCGTCCCGTGCAGGTGACACCAGAGTCACTTGTGTCACCCGAAGGCTCTGTGCCCTTCTGCAGCACGGCCACGTGATGCAGTGGGTTTCCAGCTGTGCACACCCTGTGTTTTGCTCTGACCTTCTCTTTGCTGTACCTGGCCTAGGCATCAATGGCCATTCTGTGGAAGAACATCTTTGCTCTGAGGGGAACAGAGCCCTGGCACAGGCTGCCCTGGGAGGCTGYGGAGTCTCCTCTTCTGGAGCTCTTCAAGCCCACCTGGATGCGACCGGGTGCCCCGTGCTCTGGGTGTCCCTGCTGGAGCAGGAGGTTGGACTGGATGATCTYGAGGTCCCTTCYAACCTCAGCCACTCTGTGACTGTGTAAATGTGTGAATGAGCCGCGTTGCAAGCGCGGGCGGGATAAGCCCTTGCTCCGTGTCCTGCTCGGGTGGAATGAGTGTTGCTGCTCTTGTGCCCACAGGTCCTGCTGCGGGTCAAGGAGTCAGAAATCCAGTACCTGAAGCAGGAGATCAGCTCCCTCAAAGACGAGTTGCAGACAGCACTGAGGGTAATGTCCAGGATGGGTCTCTTTYCAGGGATGCTCCCATACTCTTAGGGCTCAGCTAGCTTATCCCAAGATTAGAAACATTTTAATTTCTCCCCATACTTGAGTTCAGTACCCATTTTGGTGTCATTAATAAAGCATCCCACTGCTGAATGAGCCCGGGCTTTACCCCTTCTCCTTCCGTGTGGGAAAACTTCACCGTCAGTGTTTTTTCCTGGTTTCCTATCYCATCAGATCAGATTTGAAATGGCAAAAATACTCCGGGGTTGCAGAGCTGCCCAACCTCCCCACATCAGATCTGGTTTGCTCTGGACGGCCTGTTTGCCACGGCCACTTCTGGGAATTCTAGTTGTACTTAACATCTTTCCTAAAATTAAAACCCACAAACAAGCAATCTTGGAACAAGCAGGCCAGCATGCACGGGCAGCGTTGCATGCTCCTTGGAGAAATTGGAGCTTTCTGCGTAACTTTAAGCGCTCTGTTGCTGTTAGATGCGGCTTCAAGAGCATGTGTAAAATCTGTGGGTTGCCCCCAGCTGCGCGCTCAGCAGGACAACGGGAATTTATCCCTGCTGTCAGCAGCCGGCTCTCGTAACTGCAAAGTGCAGAGTAGGGAGGAAAAAAAAGTGCTAGGTGAGCAGGGCAGTGCTCCAAGCGCTGCCCTTCTTCCGGAGGCCTTTGCCAAGCCTCTCTTCGGCACGTTCATAACCCCCCTGGCTCCAATTGTCTGTCTTACTGTGTCGGGTTGTTCTTGTTCCTTTGCCAGGATAAGAAATACGCCAGTGACAAGTACAAAGACATCTACACAGAGCTGAGCATTGTGAAGGCCAAGGCAGACTGTGATATCAGCAGGTTGAAAGAGCAGCTGAAAGCAGCCACAGAAGCTCAGGGAGAGAAATCCCCTGTGAACACCACTGTATCGGGATATGGTCAGTCCTCCTCCAGCTGCTCTAAGCCTTGTTGCTTTTCCGATCGAACGCGTGCGGCCTGGAGCGCAGGCTCTGCTGCACCACTGGCACCTGCACCAATGCAGGACTTTGTACGGTGACTTTTTTTTGCCATTTCATGCCGCTTCCTGGCGCCGCTCCTTGCAAACCATCTCAGCAGAGAGGGCAAGGAGCAAAGGGGCCCATGCTGCCCTCCCCATGGCAGGGCCTCCTTCCTGGAGGCCGGGAAGCCTGTGTCTTTGGTAGCTTGTTGTCATTTTGCATCATGAAAAGCCTCATGCTGCCCTTGCCACCAGGGCACAGAGGCCCTGCAGAGTCTTCTCTGTCCTTAGGGCACTGCTGCTGCAACCAAGTTTATCAGCAGCGTTTGCCCACGCGGGGAAGGCGACCAAATCCCCAGCCTCACTCCTTCCAGGAAGTCTGTGGGCACCAGGCTAATGCTGTTTCTTTTGCTTCTCCCTAGATATTATGAAATCAAAAAGCAACCCTGATTTCTTGAAGAAAGACAGATCCAGTGTTAGCCGACAGCTAAGGAATATCAGGTCAAAGGTGAGTTCACATCTTCCCCCGGTGCTGCTCGTGCCCAGTGTCACTCCCTGGTGGGGTTTGCTGGGGAAATCGTGGAGCAGATTGGAAGAATTTAGTAGAGGGAAGGAAACAGGATTTCTGGCTCAGTATCTGGATGGCACCTAGGAGAAAAAACTAGCTTTCCAACAAGCAATGTCTTGCTGTGCAGCCAGCACGGCCCCAGCCCGGGATGCCCCCTTGTAGGGCAGGCGTTACTGCATCTCCCAGAAGTTAGGTGTGAAGCTGCTCCCTGCTTGGACAAAAGCACAATGTTCACCCTGGTTTTTGATCTTTCACAGGAGGATTCTCGCAGTATTTGCACCTTTTTTAGCTGAAATTTAAGTGGTATCAAAAGGTGGCAATGTGCACAGCATTCTCAATTCTGTAGCATCCAGCACTGCAAGCTTTTTGGTCTTTATATGAGACAAAAATGCCTGAGTGCTGAGCCTGTTTAACACACGCTTTGCGTGTGTGTTAACGTGGCCTGGGCAGCCCTGTGTGCTTCCCCAGCCATTCTGTCCTTGCTGTTGGTCCCAGATCCCGTTACTGCCGTGCCAGGCTCRTCTGTGCTTGGGCTGCTGGCTGCCAAATTCCCATCATGTTACACATGATTTCTGTGTAACATGATGAAACACGATCATGATTTCTCCATGATCATTTCTGTGGGACCACACRGAAAGAAACAGAAGGGCAAATGCAGCCACTCAGATGGCATCATTAACCAGAGACCAGTCAGCAAGGAGAGGAGCATGGGCAGAACTCGCTTTGCCCTTCCCGACTGGATCCTGGGAGTCTGAAGTGGTCGGGATGCAGCCCGGCAGGCTTCTCGCTCGATGCCCACGCCAGTCACGAGCTCTGCGAGCGTTAGCCCAGCGGCCTGCGGTGCCCAGCAAATACAGGGAGCCTCTGTGCCTGTCCAAGGCCCTGGCTTTGCAGGCTCGCCGTGCCCGAGCTGCTGCCTGCCTTCCCTTGACCACTTCAGCTCGGCGCGGAGGACGGAGCGAGCGCGGCGCGAGCGCTGCCGCGGGGAGGGGGCCTGGGCCGGGCCGCGCGAGCGTCCTCACTGCGTTCAGGATTGATGAGCTTCTTGTCTTGTCTTGTTTTCTTTATTTTGCTCTTTCCTCCCACAGTCCGTTATTGAGCAGGTCTCATGGGATAACTGAAATGAACCCGAGTCCAGGTTCCCTGCCACGTAGGTAACCAACCCGGCACCCACCAAGCGACGCAGCTGCCCACTGGAGCGGCCCACTTTTGCATGCACTGCTCACACCTCCGTGGCAAACGAGAGGCCTTCTGCTCTTAATGACTGACTGGTTTATTTGCTGCTAATGATTTTACTGGGGAGCGAGAGGGGAGAAGAGAGGCGGACCCACGATCCGTGTAAAGCGCAGTCTGTCCGGCTCTTCCCTGGGGATTTTGGCTTTCTCGTCTTCCCGCTCCTCCCGCCCTCACCAACACAGGAGGGTTTGGACGCGGTGGGGCTCGTTTTCCTGTTGGCTGTGTTGGGAGTGCGGGACGCCGAGTGTGCATGCTTGGGTCACTGTGCATGCCTCCCACTAAACTAGCAACGCGCAGGCCCCGTAGGAAAAACCACCTCTGTGGTGTCAGGCAGGTGGAGGAGAGGATCGCTGAGGCCTGTGAGCGTTTCCTCCTCCACGGAGAGCAGAGAGCACGTTAGATGAAGCCAGTAGGATCCACACGTTTCCCACAAAGGCCCATGGCTTGTCAACAGCGCCCAGGTCCCAGCTGCAGAGAATGTCCTGAATTTCTTTTGCTGAATTCCAGTGATTGCTGCTTCTTTAGGTTGCCCGAGCAGAAGTGTCCACCTTGCTGAGCAACTTCTTCCTTCTGCTCTGCGGGTTCTTCCCAGGTGCCCATACCAGAGCTCATCACTTGGTGCTGCCCCTCCATCTCACGTGGGCTGGAGGCTTCCGAGCTCATCCAGCGGCAGGAGGGAGCTGATGGGAAGAGGGGCTCGTTCTCATGGCATAAACATCTCAAATAACCAAATGCAGCAGTAAATGTTACTGGTCCATGGTAAAGACAGAAATGAGACCCTTGCAGGAGGGGAAAGAAAAGAGGCGAAACTCCCCCAAAATGGTGAGAGAGGATTAGCTTGAGAGCCCTGGGAAGTCTGATGGGGGTGCTTTTATCACAGATTTTACCTTACATTAGGCTGCCTTCATTAGCTCCTTTTCGTCAGCAACTCCACTGATTGAGGAACTCCCTAAGGGCTGATWTAGCTGGAATTTTTGCCATTAGGCAGAACAGTCTGATGGTTTATGTCGCCTTGTTCCATATAATAGGAAATCTGATGTATAGACTGGAACGCATGGGTTGCTGCTAATTTAATAGGCCCAGTTAACTTCCTTTAGGAAATATATCCTCAGATATTTGGGTCCCCAGAGCTTCTCTGCTGTCAGCTGAAAAGAAGAAATACATCATTTGTAAATTAAAACCAAGCCATTTTAGGGCTTTTATTTTCATGCTGATTCCCAAAGCTGTTCTGGATTTCTCGACCTGTGGGAGGAGAAACATTTGAAGCAGCTCAGGACAGTGGGAACCTGCCCAACCTCCCGGCAAGTTTCTGCACAGCAGGTCTTGCCTGGGCCAAGCACACGTTAAAACCCGACCCAGGTGTCAGAACTGCTCCTGTGTCGTCACTGTCACCACGGTCACGAAGCAGAAGCAAAAGGGGCCGTTGCTGGGAGTTCCTAGAAGGGTCTCTGCGTGCAGATCTGTGCCTCTTGAAGCAGTCCTACGCCAGTGTGTAAAGCAAACCCTGTTGGAGCTGCGGAGCGGGTTAGCAGCCGGCTTGCAGCACAGTTACCTGTGAGATGATTTGGCCCTTCCTGCACTCTTGGGCTGCCTGTGTGTGTCAGAGCAGAYGCCTCCCAGCACGGAAAGCTTTCGCAGTGCACGGCAGGGCCCTTGGGAGGCCTGGGGAGGGAGACGTGTCACCTCCCGGAGGGCAGCGACAGGGGACACTCGCCGCCCTGCAGCTCTTTAGCAACGTGTTTCGGGCTGTCTTGGATCTTGTGCTTCTCCTTGGGCTTCCTGCAGGTTGAATCTCTCGCAGTGCAGGCCAGTTATTTGCTTCTGTGTCTTTGCCACTCACATAGGTGTGTTCCCAGAGCCATAGGTGACAGTAACCTTCGCACATGCAGATGCTGGAGTTAGCAGGATGGATCAGCTGGCTGACAAGGCTTTAAATCTGAGTGCGGAGTCTGAACTGGATCGGACACAAGGTCCTGCTAGAACCTGGAGCAAGCATTTAGTAGAGTCCTCTGTCCAACACTGCAACCAGCAACTTTGGCTTGGGAAAGACCCCAGGCTGGGGCTAGAGAAAGGGCGGGATTGTCCCTGGCAGTTAAATGTAGTTTTCAGGACTGTTTTGGGTAAARCACGAGCATTGACTGGAGTGAGGAGCACCCGACACGTCCACGCACTGAGTCAACGTGCAGGCAGACGGGGACGACCAGTGCGGATCCTTCCTTGCAGCTCCATCGTTCACCTTAGCAGGGCCAGGCTGGACTGCCTGGTGCCYCCAGCATCCTAGAGCTCCCCAAAACCGTCCCAGCCAGAATTGCCCCGTGGGCTCCGGGCTCGCTCCCCAAGTCGGGCTAATCCCGCTTTGCGTCTGCGCCTCTCCCCCGTTCCCGATGCATCACCGCCTTCATTTGCCATCATCTCCCCCACTCTCCAGGCGTGATTTCACCAGTAACAGCACTCCGAAACCGTGTGTTCTCTCGAGCATGTCCCACTAATCTCTCCATCGCGGAGGCCGTTCTGCTGCCACGGTTCCTTTGCCTGAGCATCGCCCCCATCTCTTGCTCCCGTAAGCCGCGTCCGCACCCGCTCCGCAGTGTCCCCATGTCTCTCTTTTGTCTTCTCCCAGAGTCTGAAGGAAGGCCTGACTGTGCAAGAACGCCTGAAGCTTTTTGAATCCAGGGACTTGAAGAAAGACTAGTTCTCCCCGCTCCGCTTCACCACGCGCACCGCCCGGCTTGAGGCAGCACGAGCACCAGCACCGTTTGTCTCTCGCCCCTTGCGACTGTCCTTGCTGTCGTCCGCCCTGGCGCTCCTGACGAGACTGAGCCCCGCGGGGCCCTCCCGCCGCCGCCTCGCCCCCCGCAGCCCCTTCCCCTGCTTTGTGAGCCGCTTCAGAGACTCGGAGAGGGAGAGGAAGGGATGGGGGGGTTATTTTGTTTTTTTTTTCTTTTCCCTCTTCAGCGCTTGTAGGAGAATCCTTCCTTTACTGTAAACCATTACACTAAGTGTCAGTATTAAGGCTCAGTAGCCTGTTAATAAGCTAGCTCTGTCGTACCAACTGTTTTGGTATAAAAGCAGGGCCTGGGTGGTGTCGGCCATACCTTGCTCTTACTGCTGTGGAGAGACCCAGTGCTCAGAGCACGCCAGGAGCCTAATGGAACCGTCGTCATCGCTGCGTTGCTTGCACCTGCAAGGGGGAGGCCTGGGGACGGTGGCAGGGAGCACAGGTCGGCAGCCGGGAGGTGCAACACAGACATCCCGCTGGAAAAGGATGGAAGCGACGGCTCTCCTGCCCCGGGAACGGGCTGCATGCTGAGCGCAGGTGCGAGCAGAGCCCGCCGTGCCGGGCTCTTCGCTCATGGTTCTGCTTAGGGAGTCGCAGTTACTCACATGCAACGGAAGGGCTGCCCCTTGGCCGTGTCGGTGTCTCCCTTCTCTCCGGGGCCAGGTCTGAGATGATAACGTGTTGCTGGGACGGAGTCGCGAGGGCCCTTCCTGGCCTCCGCGTGGTCTCGCCCAGCAAATCTTCTTGCTGTTACTCCCCTGCTCTCACCGAGTCCCGTGTCTCCTAGGGCCTGTGCGCATGTGAAACTCCCTGTTCCTAGTGCAAGGAGGAAAGTAGAGTAGAAGGTAGAACCAGTACTGACGGACAAGGCACAGTGTTCCACGCATATAATGCTCCTTTTTTTATCGGCTTCTTGAACTTGACTCTTCTTGTCAGCAGGGCAGCTCCTATTTTAATTCTTTAATCTTTTTCCGAAATAAAAATCTGAAAACCTGTATGTGCTTCAGACCTTCTCAGTCATAACAGTTTACTTATTTAAAACATACCACTCAGCAACGTGAGGCCCGTAAACCAACGCCAGGTAGAAGTGAAGGGAGAGGCCTGGTAGCCAGGGATGTGGCAGCCAGTCCACCCAGTGGGTCGGATTCCTAGTGGATCTGCAGACTCTGCTTTGCCGCGGCAGGACTGCATGGGTGCTATGGCTTAATCCCGGCCTAACATGAGCATTTCAGGGCGAGCGCCGCCTCGCTGGGCACAGGGAATCCGCCTGCGGCCGGGCCCGACGCCGCTCGCCGGCCGGGAGCAGGGTTGAGTTGCTGTTTTGGTGCATTAGGTTTCGAACCTAATTTGGCCACTGAGCGACCCGCAACACGTCTCTGGTGCTTTTAAGCCCTGTCCTTTGCGTGGAGCTCATCTTCCTCCTGGCTTTCAGGTGCTTCCGTGTGGTTTAAGCAGGCAGGTCCGTGCGTGTTCGTGGCTGACGTGGTGCTTGGGTAGGACAGGGCAGCCGACCTGGGCTCGGGAAGTTCTCGCTACCAGCTCCAGAGCTGGCAGGAGTTGGGAGCCGGAGCYGGGCGCTTCCTCGGGGCCGGGCCGGGCACGCCGGGTGCTGCGGGGCCTTCCCTTTCCTCCATCCTCCCTCTCCTTTCTGGCATTTGGGGCTTTCCTTAGAGGTCGGATTCTTCCGCCTACCCTCGCGGCTGAGCCCAGGACGTGTGTTGGGGTCCCAGGCCCGGCAGCAGTTGGGAACACAGCGCTTCCGTGGGATCTGCCGGCAGGAAAGGCAATTCTGTCTCTGAAGGAAAGGAGGGACAAGCAGCACAGGCTGCAGGACCAGCAGCGCTGTCAGTGCTGGGACCCAGCTGGCTTCCACGGCTTGGGTGGAAAGGTAGATCAACCTTTTCTAGGAAATCTTCCTTTTTTTACTTACTGCATTTGCTCACAGGCACTTACCTACTTGAAGCAGGAGGCCCAAAGGTTGCCCTCCTTGTGCACGGAGGAGCCGGCCTCAGGCCCTTGGTAGTGCAGGTTGGTGCCACCAAGTCTCGAGACTCTCCAGAGAGAGTTTTCTTCTCTTTCGTGCTCTACACTCTGCTCTATCAAGAAGTTCTCTTGCAGCTTAGTCTGGGACTAGCCATTGMTCCCACCTTGATCTTTATTTCCTCATGTAGAGAATGGATCTGCTAARTGGAGGGCACAGTTGGTGTGAGTTGGTGTGAGGACACGGATGCAGAAACAGGCTGATGGGACGCAGAGCTTGGCTGCTCTTGGAGCTCTGGGCTCCGGGGCCTGGGCCACGTCCTCAGAGAGGCGACAGGGCMAAACTGGCGGCCAAGGGGAGGCCTTGAAGTTCCTCATCCCTTGTCTTGCCACGTGCAAATACCTTGCTGCAAAAAATAGGTTAAAAAAAAGGGGTGAGCGTGGGCAGGAAGACACTGCAATGTAATAGCGAAGTAGACACACTTAGAGGTTAGTGCAAGAAGGCAGAAGSAGGTGCAGTTAAAATGCAGCGGGTAGCAAGCTGTGTAAAGCAGGCGGGTGCTGAAGCGATGGAGGGTCTAGGGCTTGGGTTCGAAAGACTTTCTGCTTGTGCTCCTGCTCAACACTGCCCTGGGAGGAGAGGCTGTGAGGGTTTAGCCTGGCTTATACACATAAAACATAGCACAGTTGAAAAAAATAAAGAACAAAGATAGCCCAGAACACTTGCAAAGGAGAGAGCACCTAGAGGGTTTTCTCTCTACCTGTACATATGCTAAACAGACGGGCAAGGTCACTGAGGAAAAAGCAATGGGCACCACCAGCAGCTGGAGGGAAAAGAAAACGTGTTACAAGGACTGAGGAGACTGCAGAGTGTGTGGAGGAACCGGGGGGACCATCCKCCGACAACTATTTCCATGGTTTTTTTGCAACGTGTAACCAAGTCAAGTGTTTTTATTGCTTAACTTGCTATTTTAAAATACCACTAAGCAAAGGGGCTTTTAGGAAGAGGGTGTAGGCTGGTGGAGTGTCCCTGTTGAGAGCAGGGTTGGCTTGGTTGGAAAGGAAGGTTCAGTGGACAGGGCGGCCGTGCTGTGCAGAAGCCAAGATCCCGCTCGGTGCCACGTGCAGCCACGGAGCAGCTCTCCTCCAGATGTGTCCAGATGTGCACGGCGCTGGCTCCTGCGCCTGGAGGGCGCAGAAAAGACRTGCGAGGAAGAAGAGGCCGCGGGATGTGCCAGACTCCGCAGGGGATGGTTGCAGGCTGCAGGCYGGGTTACATCCCTCTGCTCCGGAGCACTCCTGCAAGGTGCCACGCGGGACGTTACCCACCTGCTTTACACCGAGAACCAGCACTTGCAATAAACACAGCCAGAACCTGGAACATTCCTGCAGAGAGCAGTGCTTAGAAAAGAAATCCGGGAAGATTTTCTTGCTGACGGCAATGTTCTTTAGTTATCCACGCTCTTGTTCCTGCTCCAGGCCCCGTCGTTCTCCAAGATGAGAGGATGGGTGGCTCTTCACGTGGGCAAGCGCATGGAGAGCTGCGAGGAGGAAGGCCGGCCGAGGGCCCCGCTCGCGCTGCCGGCCGCGGCCCCCGACCAGGTACCCGCTGGCCAAAACGGGGCCCGTTCCTCTCTCCTCGCGGAAATCCCCGTGGGCAACGCACAGTGCCGGCTGCTGCGCTGCACGCAGTTCTACACTACTGCTAATTCTGAAGAGCGAGGTTTAGGAAGGCCCGAGTGCAACGAAGCTGCAGACACACACACCCGATTGCTTCTGAATATTTTGCTTTCTTTTGCCTAATTTCTTACCCTTTGCGTCCTTTCTCCCTGAAACAGAGCAAGTCCTTTTTAAATGTCACCTTTTCTTTGCTCACCTGTAAAAGCAGCAGCAGATTTTACTCATTTGCTTCAAGACTAAACTTGTGTGCTGATTTGCAAGCCAGGAAAACGCTCTTTCTTCCCTTCTGTAATAGAAGTTGACTGGAATGCATTTAAGCAGCTCCCCCCAGCATTGTAAAATGTGTCACTTTTGTAAGAACTATATACTTGATTGGATTCCACTAGTCCTTTGCATTTTTTTGTGGTTCATATACAGTACTTAGTTTGTTGTGAACACTTAAGCACATGCACGCTCGGTGTAGCTTGCCTTTCCTCTGTAATTTTTTTCCATTTTTTTAAGAAAGCTTTGTTATTCTTCTCTTTAAAAAAAATAATTTAAAACCTGTATAGTATTCAAAGCACGCAATGTAAATATTTATTACTCAAATTAGTGGAGGGTCCTCTTTTGTGACTAAGTTGTGGTTTTGATTTTTAAATCTTGTTCTAATCCAGACATCCCACTTGGGGGGTGGCAGAGGAGCACCGCGTGTAACATGTTGAACCCCCCTCTCTTTCCTGATAGAATATGTTTGTTTTTGATGACTGTTATAAATATCTTTTCCAACATTTTCTGCTGACCTAGCCCTTTAGTTTTGAAAATACCTGTCCAAAGACCATGTACAGCCTGTTTAAGACCTGTAACCCTTCTGCGCTATAAACTTGGTTTTCTTTTCCATCGAGGATTCAGTGATCTTGTGTCTGATAGAGGCATTAACGCCGTGCGCGTGGAAACCACTGGCAGTGTGAAAGAGGAGAGGTAACTGCCCCATGCGGGGGCAGATGGACTGTCCCTGCGGTAATTTAGGCTGGTGGCAGTGAGAGACACGAGGTCCCCAGATGCCAGGGGCTGCTGCCACCCCCCGAGCATCGCGCTGAGGATGCTCCAAGGCTGCCCAGGTTTCCGAGGCACCTACAKCTCCGGCTGTGCAGAAACACATGGTACAACCACACGGAACTTTCCTGTAACGTACACTATGTGAGCAACCCTCTAAATACGACTCCCAATACAATGTAGTTACTACTGAGTTGAACTTTTGTGATCCTGCCACTGCAGCCGGGTCTGGCAGGAGGAGGCAGAAGGGAGCAGGGCCGCTCCGGGGGGCTCCCTGCCTCCCGCTGCCCTCAAAACTACTAAAAAGGATCCAAAAAGGAGACTACTAAAAGGAACCRCCCGTGTGGGGCTCGCTAGGGAAACCTGATGAGCCAGTCGAGGTGGTACCGGCCCAGCTAATCCAGCTGCCCATGASCTAGTAAATAATTAGTGCAATTACAAAAGGTAATTTTCTTCCTCCTTCACATGATTAGCGTGTGGTGGATGTGAGGAGAAAACTGACTCTTTGTTCTAAGCTAGAGAGAGCAAAGTATGTTGTAAAACACTAAGGACTATGCTAAGTAGAGACTAGATAAGAGTGCTTCAGTCCTTGACCCGTATTCACCTTCCCCAGACCTGGAGTTTCAGCCTGTCTTGAGATTTTAAAGCAACCTTTTTTTGAAGGGATAGAGTTTGGGGGAAAGAGAAGGCAACTCTGCATGTCTTGGGTGATAACTGAAGTCACACTGGAGACTGAGGTGCTACTGGTGGGGCTTCCTTTCCCAACCTCACCACAGCTGAAGGCTTCTGGCTCCTTCTGGCTCCACTGGCCGAACAGCACCTGGAGGAGATTCCCTCTGGGTTAAGGCAGGGGCGCACGCCGAGCCCCACCAGGCGCCTCACGGGAGCCTCTGCCCTCTCCGGCTACCCACGGAAGTGACAGCAAGGAATGGGGAGCGCCAGGCGAGGCGCAGGGTAGATCTTCCAGGCACGGCGGGGCTGCGGCAGAGGCAGCCCGGCCGCCTCTCAGCTCCCGTGGCAGGAGGGACGTGCGGAGGCCTCAGTGGGACGGGCTGCAGCGGCCGCTCTCGTGCGGGGGACRCTGCGGGGTCCAACCCGGGCACCGGCCCAGCCGGGCGGGTGAACGAGGAGCCTTCAGTCGGTGCTAAACCYGGTCGCTGCGTCGGGCTGAGTGGCTTCTCTTCAGGGAGGCTTCCACAGAACCAGACTTGTCCAGGAAGAGGCATCAAACCTGGTTCATTTCCCTCTGTGGAAATGCACGCTYGAGGCTCCCGTTTCTAAGGCTGTGCAGGATCTTCTCTCCTTCCTCTCTCCCTTCCACTCATTTTATTTCAGTGCTTTTTTAAGAGCCACCGCTCCTGGTCAGCTGTTCACTGTAATAGAAAYGTCACATTTGTCACAGTATTTATTCCTTACAAAATCTTTTGTGACATGCTAGGTTCCCGTGGATGTAGCTGATCATTTTTATTTTGTAAATATAATTACCTAACTTTACATAAACTATATCGTAATAAACTATTTTTGCACCACCCTTTGCATGCTGTGTAGTGAGGTGTTTATTTTGACGAGGAGGGGACGGCCTGAGTTAATTACTTGCCCTATGGCTGCATTTAAGAAGGAAAATGCAGTAAATAGCACTTCTCACCCTCCCTTTAAGAGGAGTAGTGTAAAGCTAATGCTGCCGTAGTGGATTTCCCAGGGAATGAACTTTCTCAGCTTCTTCCATAGTTGCTAAGTACAGGTAAGAGCAACAGGCATTTCCCTCACCTCATTTTTTTCTCTGCACCCCAAATAACACCTCAGCACAAGCGTCTGCTGGAATTTCTAATAATTTGAATGTTTGACTTACAAGGGCTGCCTGAAGAACACAAAACGTAAGATGCTGTTGAGCTTTYCTGTGAGAATGACAGATTTAATAGGGCTATTCACAGCACTACAGTAGCAAGTAATGGTGGTAACACAACCTTTTCAGAGAGATTTTGAGCACTTATAGTAACTTTATATTCAGTATAACGTAATTCTTACACAGACATAAGTTTCAAATTTCTCACCAAGTTTACATCCACTTTCTTTTACCTTAAACTGTAAAGACAGAGATTCTTTAACCCCAAATAAATTATTTTTGTAAAATATTTAGTACGGCAAGATTTGTAGGAAGTTGCTGTATCTTTTACTAGACCAACGTGGAAAAATGAATGCTCCAAATTTGGATGGCCAAATTTGTCCATTGCTTTCCAACTGTACCAGTAGTGTAACAAAAATATTACCTCTCTCTACACATTGCTAACGTCACGACCTTAAAATATCACAGCCTAAATACAACATTCCTGCTTTCTCTCATATATATTTAAAAACATGTTTAATGTTCTGCTCCCTCTGCTGGCAAAGGCACAGTAACGTGTTCCCACAAAGGGGCCCTTGGTTAATCACAGGTACAGGAGCAAGAGAGCTCTGCAATGCCAGGTAAWATGAAGTTTGCATAAATGCCCAACAATGAGTTAGTCTGATTAATACCAACTTTACTCTCTTTAAGGACAAAACAGTAAGTGAGAAAACGGTCAACCCCAAAAGAGGAAATAAAGAACCCCAAAAGAAAACATCTCACTTAGGAAAATACACTGCCAAACTGCTGCAGGTGTCTCTGGGTCAGGAACGCAGCTGTCACTGCTATGCAGAAGGATCCTCCTGCATCCTGGCATCCTTCTGCTGCCTTCAAGCACCCCAAATCTCTGATCAGGATCAGGGAATTGTATCCTGTCACTGGCAGGATGAGGCTTTCCTTCCATGATGTCTTTCTGAAAATCAGTGACCAAACTAGAGCCATAGCTGCTTTTAGGACAAGGCTGACTGCTCCCAACAAGGTTTATCTAATTGTTTTCCAGAAACTTCCCTACACTTTCTGACTAGCAGATGGGCTGGTGTCAATGTGCATTCTGTTACCCTGGGCCTTTACTAGTCTTAAAAGGCAAATCTTCTATAGCAGTTAACATTCAATGTGTATTTTTCATCTCTAGCTTCATACTTTCCACAAAATCCTATTGACAAACTTTCAACAACTAATGCCAACCTGCCCAAAAATAAATAAATAACAAAGTTGCTTAATCTCTCCATAGGAAGTCTCCCTTTGTTCACAGTCCTCTTAACTGTTCTTTGAGCGTGAGCAACACAGAGGAGCTATTGGTGAAAAAAAAAACCCATTCCACAGTATCACGAGCTGATAAACGTCGGCTTCGCTGATTAAATATCAGGAACCAAGCAAACGTTACCTTGTTTTCTCAGGGCACAGCTCTGAGGCTGACTTCTGAACCCTCTCCGTGCCTTCCTATCACATCTATGCTCACAGAAGAGCTCGGCAAACAGGCGGGCGATGCTCTTTCCTTTGACACATAGTGCATCTGTGACACCTTAGGGCAGGAAGCCCTTCACTTCCGCAGAGGAGCTAAATTACAGCCACATGGATCATACGCTGATGCCTATATGTAATCATAAAACCCAGGAATGCCGTTTGTTAGGTACTCCCCCAGCTCTGGGAGATAACTTACTCTGTTTTTTTGGAAAAAAACTTATAGTTGGTGGGGTTGTATTCTTCCCAAATCCTTTCAAAYTCGGCCAGAAAAGGCTTCACGTACTCCGCGTCCTCCACAATCAGCACGTTCTCCCKGTTGTTCTGGATGGCCTGAGTGGTCCAGTTGAGGGAGCCCGTGATGAGCATCTTCTTGTCCACGATGGCGAATTTGTGGTGCATGAAACCATCCTCCTGGTCATGACGCACRGGAATCCCTGCAAAGACACAGAAACGTTCTCAGGGTCTCCTTTTCAGAGACACGACTCTTCCCCCCATTCCTTGGAATAAAAGGGTATTTTTTAAGATTCAGGAGTGCACATTGACAGCACACTGCGAACTGAGGCTGAAGGTGTCACTCAAGCAGCCAGTTGTACCCTAGAGATGCTGCCCAGGCTGCCGMGTGGCCCAAGGGCTGCAAGGGGCCACGCGCTGCCCCTCGTGCCRGGCAGCCGCCGCGGTGCCAGCCCCCGTCCCCACCGGGCCGCCCTCCCGGCGTCCTCACCGGCGTGCCGGAGCAGGCCGATCTGGGAGCCGTTGAGGGCCATGTACTGCGCGTCGGTGACGACRCGGACGCGCACGCCGCGGCGGTGCAGCAGCTGCACGGCGCGGCCCAGCTGCGGGCTGGAGAAGGCGAAGAGGCAGATCTCCAGCGAGCGGCGGGCCGAGAGCAGGCAGCGCAGCAGGCGGCTCAGCGGGCTGTCGCCGCGGGGCAGCGGGCAGCGGCAGGCGGCCGCGGCCGCCTCGCCCAGCAGCGCCTCGGTGCAGGTGACGCGC